TAAAATTCAATAATATTAACATTTAAAATGCCGCTTAAATAAAAAGGTCTTCGCCTGGCGCCGAAAAACAAATAACTTGGGGTGGGGATGGGGAGATGGCTGAGATCTTGGTTGCCACCCAACGTGGAGTTCACGATCCAAGTCAAAATTTTAATGAAATGTTTGTTCATGACCCAATTTGTAATTGAACCAAGGCATTTGTGAGCCGAGATACCACAAATGCCTTGGTTCACAAACAAATCGGGTCATGAACAAAAATTGGATTACAGTGTCATCTCCCACCGGCTTGCACAAAACCCTGTTTCATACAATTGCTTTCTGGCTTGGTATCTTCTGGCTCTAGGTAGCTTTCAATCCTGTGTCTCTCTGAAGTTGGTGAAGGTGTGGTTGCTTCATACTTCCTTCCTGAGCCCTGTCCAGAGTTTTATTTATAATTCTTAAAATCTTGTAATTCAAGAAAGGCAGAATCTCTTGAGTACCACAGGCTGCAATAAAAAAAGAGAAGCTGCCATTTACATAGGAGCCTTTTTGACTTGCGGAGGGGAAGGAGTTTAATAGTACAGCATCTGCTGCACCTGCAGGAGGTTCTGGGGTCAATCTTTGACATTTCCGAGTAGGGCTGAGGAAGATACTTATCTGAGAACTTGGAGAGCAATTGTGAGTCCTACTGGGCCAATGATCCATCTAACTCGTTACAAAAATTATTGGCATGTATGAAAAGAATGTTCACAGCACATTTTGTAGCACGTTTTGCAAGCTTTAACAAGTTGGTCACTTTGTAGGCCAGGGTGACTGAACCTCTTTCAGCCTGAGGGCCAGAGTCAGTTTTAGAGAAACTTAGCGGGATGCATTCCAGTGGTGGATGTAACTGAAGCCAAAAACACCAGGAACACATATTTTAGCATAACCATCTTAATTCTAGAAACTTAATCTTAGGAAAGGCAGTCTGAAAAACTCCCAAAGATCAGCAGTTGCAGTAGAGGGCATGGGGCAAGGAAAGGAGGTGTGGCAGTCCTGGGCAGCTTAAATCTGCTTTGTTGATAACAAATTTCCCATTAGCTAGTAAAGCCAGCCAGACTTAGCATACACCCATATTAAAGAACCTGTTCCTAAATCCACATGGTAATAGCAGGCATCCATCCATAGGATGATCATCATATCCAGCTTAACACACATCAGACAGAAGAAACCGTCCCCTGTTTCTTCCCCTTTTCAGCTCAGGGCTGAAAGAGCACAGTATAAAGGCACAGTGCTGTCTCTGCCTGGATTCCTGAAGGCGGCATCAAACGACTCCTCTTTGGCATTGAGGCAATCCATAGACCTTTGCCTCCAGTGCCAAACTGGAGTTAGGAGGCAGTGGCTTATCACAGCTGTGCACATGCACCCAGCCTGTGCAGAGTCAAAACCTTCCTGGGCTTCAGCCAGGTGCTGGGGTTGGGTGTGGTATGGTTCATCCCCCTCTTTTGTTCTGTGTTTGGAGAAAACCTCAGGCTCATCTTGCATACCAGAGCTGGTTCCCAGCATGCCATGGCAGGAGCAGTGTGCTAGAATGTTGACCCTGTTCTAATATTATAGCATGTATATAGCACTTCTGGGGGTTTGGTCTTTGGTTTTGGAATAAAGGTCCTTCCGTTGGCTTTGTCAGAGTGTTTGTGTGACCAGCCCATTTGACTACATTTCAAAGAGTTTTGTAACCTGCTTTTTAAAACAGTTCCCTGGTATTTATCCTCTTTTTTTAAAAAAAGATTGTTATGCAGACTGTCGTCCATCTATGAAGTGTGGTATACTCCTTTCTTTTGTAATCATATTGCCTGGTTGATTCTGCCAGTTAAGTCACATTGCAAGAGATGCTTGTGGAACTGGCATTCTTGTTTCCATGGTGATCAGCATGGCCCAATTTTTCAGGCTGCCTACCCCTCTGCTAGAACTTCAGACCGTGACATAATCTTCATTGAGGTGGCAAAACTTTTCAGACGTCAGGCAGGGTTCATGATTGAATATTACCCTATACGAAGCCCTTCCACATAGAAAATTATGCTGGGGAGCCATTTTAGCTTCCTTAGCATTTTTCTTGCCATACTGTTTTTCTATGTTTGGGAAACTTTCGGGAAACATTCATTCAATCTTTCTAGCACTGCCTGCAGTGTGAAATGGTACAAGTTGGACTTAGGTTTACCTGCACTGCAAGAACTGGGCCTCAGTCACAGTGTCTTTGGATATTGCTGTATTGGAACAGGTAAGTGTTGATTATTGCCCCAATTTTACAGAACTGGGGTTATAGTCTATAGAATTTTCTTCAGGGTTCTTCCATTTGGATCACCATGACTTGTGTGTGGTTGCCCTCAGCAAGTGCAGTGAGCCCCATTCTCCCTCTTGACGCCAAAACTCTATGTAAGTTTGTGTATCTGAATCTGAATGCAACGTTCACACAATTACGTGCTACTCCAGAAGGCCTTGAAAAAGCCCAGAGGAACTCTGCAGACAATCCTCACCCCATTCCCAGATCCAGGATAGGGAGAAATGCTGAGGGTTCGGTCATGGTTTCTGAGGGGTGTGGAGCACCTTGGAGGTGAAAAGTTAAACCAGCGTGCTCACTCTAGTGATGTGAATTTTCGAGAAATTTTTGAAGCTAGGGCATTTTTTCCCTAAATCCCTCTCCCAATGTTTTGTCAAAAATTAACTATATACAATACATGTTTTTTCATCAACCTTACACTTGTGTTACTGCTTTAATAACATAAAATGTATCATTCATAAATTAGTTTTATTTACTGTTAAGTGTACTTACCTTGTTTTTTGTCATCTGAGAAGCAGGAAAAAATAACCATTGAAAACTGAAATCGTAAACAAAAGAAAGGGTATTATTTGAGCAGAATAAGTCACATGGAGTTAATTAAGGATTCACAGCCTATTTGGATATCAAATTTGAACTTTATAGCAACATTGTGCTTTTTAATGTGTTGGCATGATATATTCATTATAGCATAATAAATGGATAAAATTAGTTACTTTCAAACAATAAACATATCCTTAAATCCTAGCATCACATGTTTCTAATCAGAGAAAGTTTCTAAAATATTATTTTGGATTTATGCATAAAAATCTTTATGTGAATTATTTTAAGTAAACAAAACCTTTATTTAAAAAGCAATATACTCAATCTGGGAAATAATGTGTTTCATACGAATTTCTCCCAAATTTTCAGTTTTTCTATTGATAAAATGGGGGGTGAATGTTATCAGTGGTGGGGGGAATGAACCTTCCCTTTAAGCGTTCCTGCTCATTCTCCTCCAGTCTTTATTTCAACCTGAAGTGGGGAAAAGGGTTGTTTCTGACCTTGCATTGCACTGTAGGAGCATGCGTTGTAGGTTTGGGGGCAAAACCCTGCCCTTTGGCAGTGTTGGGGTATCAGAGTTCTAGTGACCATAAATCTGCTTATACTAGCCACCTAGCCCCCCCCCCCCCCCCCCTCTCAAACAGTACAGTTGAAAATGAACCATATTCATTTGAATATTTTCCCCCACTTTACAAAAGTTCTTCCTCACCTCTTTTTGGACAGGAACTGAAGCATGCCTATGACACACATGTGCATATGCCCTTTGCCAGCATTATTTATTTTCCCTCTTTTGAATGTACAATGTAAGTTCTTTGTAGGTCTCTGGTCTTTTTGTGGGGAGTTGTTATGAAATTGCCAAATTCCATATATGTTTGATAGTTCTGTATAAATACAAGAGAAGATGGTGAAAAAAGAAAGAGTGGGATAGGTGGGGGAGAGAGAAGTCTTGCTGTGCCAGAGTTCTAAGAAAGAATTTGAAAATTGGTGGGGTGTGGGATCTTTGTTTTGAATCCCTTTCTCTGTCAAGTGTGCGGATATATATTCTTACTATATCAAGGAAACAGGCTGTACAGGAGCTCCTGTTGCTAGAAAATCTGAACATTTTATTTTGCCTGAAAATTCTTTCCATTTCGACCAAGCTCTTTGAATCAATTGCGCAGATTGTGCCTTTCCTTTTTTTGTTTTTAAATGGCACTTAAGTAAAGTGAAACCACCTCTGAAGCTTTACAGACAACAGCCTTATTCAACTGCACAATTTTGGCTAAGCATCATCTGTTCTGTGTACTGAATGTGGCAGGGACCTTATTGAGATTCTACTCTCCTGCGATGGTGTAAAGAACATATTCTGAAAAAGGGTTACACCAGAGCTGCTCAGCCAATCTTACCTGTGGGCTCTTGTTTGGGCTGTCCACCAGAATGGTTTTCCACAGAAATGTTACAAATTAGTGGCCTCAGATTATATCTCCTCCAGGATAAAATCTAGTCAAGAGTGTGGAAAATAACAGGCAAACATTAAGGTAGTTGCAAAAGAATTTATATTCTGAGACAACATCAGTTGGACAAGAATAAGAAGCATCGAGTTGTCATATGACATGATAGTACATGGTGGAACTCTGCAGGGACATGATGACTGTGATGGTGAAGATCAACAGATCAAAATACTAATATAGCAAAGGAAATACACAGAATTATCTTGGGAATGGTAAAAGTGTTGTGACTTGTGTTGATGGCAAAGGAAGGCTAAGTTGCAAAAGTAAAATTAAAAAGTGCACCCATAGAAGCAGAGATACTGTGTGTCAAGAGGCTTATTTTTCTGCCATCTCCTATACAAATTGAGGATCTACGCATACATTGAGCTGGTGACTACAAATTTTAGTGTTTTTATACTGTTCTGATTGTTATCTCAACTGAAATTTACTTTTCCAATTTTTAAAAGTTCAACCTCAACCTTATTTTTACTGCACTAGTGGTCGCAACATCAATTGAACTAGAATAAGAAGCACTGGATTGTTCACATGACATGATAGTACATGGTAGTAAATAGCCGTCTTTATTTTCCTTTTGGCGTCAGGCAAAGACATACCTTTTTAGGATTTTTTAAACACTTAGCCCTGAATACTGTGGCCCTTTTTATATTGCTTTTATAGATGTTTTAATAAGTTTTTAAAGGTGTTTTATTTTGTTTTAATATGTTTGTGTACTGTGAGCCGCATAGGAAGGCCTTGGCAGTTATAGACAGCCTATAAATACACATATAAATAAATATTTCAGAATAGGTAGTGTGAAAATAATACCCTCTGTTGCTTATGAATCAGTTTATTTTGTATCTGCTTTCCTGATAGTTACCAGTACATTTTCTGCCTATGTGAGAATTAAAACTTGTTTTGCCTTGCCATGCCTTCCCTTTAATTATTTGATAGCAGATAATATTCTTTCCAAGTATAGCATTTGAAAAACTTTTGATCCTTTTGTATAGGAAGTGGAAATGCCATTTTTTGCAGGAGTATATGCAATCCTCTGCAAGAGCCTTTGAAACCAGGGTATGTAGCATCTTCAAGAGATTCATGCTTGTTTTTGTTATTTTACTGCATAAATATTGCATATGTAGTTGCAACTGACAGGTGCGATTCTTTGCAGAAAAGAATGATAAATGAGCTATTGCCATGAAAATTTGTGAAACTGTTATTATTTTTCACTTGGTTATTGTAGGATTCCCCCCCCCACCTGTTTAATTATTTTGCTGGGAAAATAGCTGTTAGGCTAGTGGTATTAAGTATATCGCATTTTCATTAGTGGCAGGTGCTGGCGCATTGCACAGGTCAGAGTTCTTATTAAAATACATGGTAACTGGAGGAGCTCAGTATGTACCTTGAAAGAAAACTGCTGATATTTCTTAGTGATGTGCAGGTGGTTAAGTGTGTGGGTGCTGCTACCATGGCAATGCTTTCTATTGCCAAAGTGTTGATATTCTTGCTTACTGGAAACTGTTAAAAGGCGAGGTACTCAAGACATGCAATCTCTTCTTGTCTGGCAGCACTGAAGGAAATAAACCTTCTGTTTAAGTGATGATGCAATTGGAGTGGTTTGTTGCAAGTTCTGCGGAGCTGGGAGGTATTTGGAGAAGAATGCGGTTAGAAACTGTAGGCTTAACTCCACAGTGGGAAAAATGAATGCTGGGCCTTCTGGCTGGGCAGAGTAGCAGAGGCAAACATACCCATTGGCTTAGAACACAATAGCATCACTTGTAGTGTCTTTGAACATGGTGAAAGTATTTCAAGGAATGTCAAAAGGTATGTTGCGTGTGTGTAGCCTGCAAGGATCAAATCTGCAAGTGCTGTTAAATAAGCAGCACACTGCAGAGAGATCTCACATCGGTTGGCTTCTAGGTTTCTTAAAATCACTTTTCTGACTCACAAGTTTTAGGAAGGCTAAATTGATGTAAATTAAACAAGAAAAAGACCTATAGAAACAGCAGTGGAACAGCTAGGAGAATAGAAAGAACTTTTTAAAAGAACAGAGTAGTGCATAAGGTTTAATCCTGGTCTATAAATGGTGGTTTAATCCTGGTCTATAAATGGCAGTTAAGACTATACATATAGGTTAATCCTATACATACTTACCTGGGAGTAGGTCTGATTAAACTCAGTGGTGCTTATTTCTGAGTAAAAATGTATGGTATTTTCAATGTGAATGTTTAGTATGCCAGTATTAGAGATGTGAAAGCCTGGGAAAAAACTGAAAAATTGGGAAAAAACATTTTAACTTAATTTTTATGAAAAACAAAACAACTTATTTTGGGGAGAGGGAATGGAAACAGTTTCTCAGTTCTTGTTCCCATCTTCCTGAGCCTTCACATCTCTAGCCAGAATTGAAGTGCTGAAGCTCATATGCAAGGGAAGAAGGGAATGGGAAGGATAAAGTGTGTGTGGGAGGATTCTCAGCTTGTCTTCAGACCAATGGAAGTTATTATTTGTTTATTATTTGAAATATTTATATACCACCATTAACTAAATTAAGTCCAGAACAGTTTACAAGATTGTATGATAAACAAAATAAAAGTGAAAGAAAATGCAGTCAGCAGATACAAGTAAATCAGTTAGTGAGATTTTAAAATGCATACATATCGGTTTATTGGCCATGGTCACTGAACTGCTCTGCCACCCTGACCATGTCTCCTCAGAAGAAAGCCCTATTGAGTTCAATGGGGCTTGCTCTCAGGGAAGCTGGTGCAGGATTACACCTTTAAGCAACATGTATTTGCTTTTTTGCTGCATCCATTGCCTGCAATCTAATTCTATGACCTCTTTTCTCTAGCATTCTTATTCAGGCCTGGGCAACATAAGGCTGGAGGACAGATTTTGGCTCTCTCTCTGATTATTCACACTCCCTGCTGAAATACCAGATACCTTTTGTTTGCAAACATTCTTAAAATACGAAGCAGAACTTCCTGTTGGCAGAAGACATGCTGATTCTTACTTGAAAGGGCTGTTCATCTGTGTCCAATGAAGCTTTGAATCATGCTTTCCACCAATTTACCTGAAGCAGAAGTTATTTCCTCTGTCTCCTTTTTAAAAAGAATGGAGATACAGTGGCCATGTTGCAATCCTCCAGAAGATAAGCACTACCATTCTCTTACTACTGATTTAGGGGTGGATCTGCAACTGACATTGAGCAATTTGCTGACACCCATCTAGACTTTTAAATCCAAACTAGGAATGTGGCAACTCACAGAGGCTGCATTTGGTGGTGTCATGTGAATGAGCATGGTTGAGGTTCCAGCTTTCATGATCCTCTTTCCTTCTGCATGGCTGAGAGGAACTTGGAAGTTTCTGCTTTGTTTTCACTTATACCATCTGGTTTGTATTATACCAACTTGAAAGCATGGTTTCAAGTTGGCTTGTTTCAAAGTTGGTTGGTTCAGATAATGACAAACGGCAGTTAATCAAAGCAGAACTGTCCAAGCTCCTCTCAGTCACATGGAAAGGGGAGAGAGTGAATGGACCTGCATGAATTTAGCATGATATCCAAACATGTCCATGCTTATCCACTGCCCAACATCGGCATCTATATCTGGCTTACAGGGACCAGTTGAGGTTGTTCAGTTCACATGGGCAGCCTCCTGGGAGGAATGCATTTATTTATCTAAATTATTGTTTATTGTATTTTCTTAAGATATTTGAAGGTTTACTTTTTTAGGGAGTAACATTCACAAGACAGCATACACAATCGAACTAGGAAACACTGAGAAACATTCATTATAAAGTCCCAAAAATACTGAGCAGCTGATTAGAAAGTCTTCAGGACACATTTGAAGACAGCTGCAGTTCCAGGTGATGTGCTTGGGAATGAAAGTGTTTGTAAAAGGATGCGTTAACTGCGCCTTCCGAAGACCAGCCAGGTCAGGGCAGGAGGGGTATGTGTGTATGTTTTTGTACATTTTTCTTTTCCAGTTTTTCCCTGGATTTCCGGGAGGGGGGTATTTATGCCATATTCAGGTTGTGTGTGTATGTAGGTGACCCTGAGGCAAACAAAGGAGCCATTTCCAGGGCTAAGGCAATCTTTGCCTGTCAGTGGCATATTTCCACCTGCTGCTCATTCTGCAGACATATAAAGGGTTTCCCCCTCCCTCCTACAGAGTTCTTCCCCATTGAGGGGGGTACCACGTGTCCTAACCCCTCGAAACCAGGGGCTCTTGGCGTTAGGTAATCTGTCCGTCTCTGTCTCTCCCCACCCCACCCCATTCCATTTTTAAACCTCAAATTGCAAACAGTACCAAAACACTAATTAGGGAAAAGGAGCCTGGAATAGGTAAGTCTGAACAGTAGGGGCCATGGATAATTTAGTTGTTAGGGTGAGTGGAGATTTCATAAGTGGGGAGTTGCCACCAAGAAGTCCTCGTTCGTAGATCCTGCCTGTCTAATTAACCTTCCCCTATGAACAATCAAGCAGGTGCCCTGTGGCTGGTCTTAACATGGGGGCAAGTTCTTGTGGGTCAAGGCAACCCTTTAGATAGTCTGGCTTCATTAAATATGATAGAACAGGTTGAGCTTATACTCATCTTCTTGGGAACATGTGAAACAGTCAAGCCATTATGCCTTCAGGATTCAACTAAGAGGCATGCTTACAAAGAAAAGATATCAAACATGTGTGAGGGAAATAGCTGATCCCCCTTTATGCAGAAACAATTTGTTTACAACAAGCACTTTTCAAAGAAACCAAGTTTTTGTTCTAGATTCATGTGATCATCAGGGAAAGAAGCCACAGTGGTTTTCTCCTCACCCCCATAGCAGTCATATGATTTGCCTATTACTTCCACAGTGCATGGGTTGCCACGTTCCCAAACCTAGCAAGATGTGCAGCAGGAGCGGCTTGCTGTTGCAGGAGTGGCTTCCAAGCCACCACGGAATGCTTGGTTGGAAGCCACCCCAGTGCATACCTTGCCAGGTTTAGATGACAAGGGAAGCTGTATCCCACTAGGGTCACTAGGCAGATGGTGCAGTGCTGTGGGGGAAGCAGTGAGACGCCACCATGACTTCTTTTCCACTGTGATCATGGGAACCTGTCAATTTTTTGCCCTCACTCGCTCCCTTCTGACAATTGAAAATGGAGGAAGCTAATGTGGAGGAAGGTTAGCAACCAGTGCTTTCATCCTATTTGAGAAATCTACATCCAGCAAAAGGATTTATTTTTAGTGAAGGTCAGATTCCTTCCCCATCTCATCTGCTGTTGCTGGAATAGAAGCTGAAAAAATAGGAGTTTGTGTTCATTGATTTGGATTTAGCAGTACTGTGCAGTTTTAATCCACAAGCTTAAACTGTGTTACCTAAGAAAGAATTCAGGCTAGGAACTGAAAGTTTCCGGTGGCCTTTCCTGATATTTCTATTTGATATCTGTAAAGAAGAAGTGCAAATGTAATTTAGATCTTGCAAGATGAAAAATGGAATTATGAATTAAATTTTTGCATACTTATATATTTAATATCTTTTGACTATGCATGGGGAGGGTAGAAAGGCTATGTCAGACACTGTATCATCACCTTGCCCTCTATAAATCCTTTTCAGCATCTCCTCCTCCTTTGCCCTCACTTCTGAGATTTTGCATAGGTTGGAAAGGCAATTTAGAAATTTTTGAATAGTATTATAATTTTCTCATAAATTCAGTTAGAGTTTTGGATTCGGATTCAGGAAATCCAGGTTCTAGTCCACACTCAGCTGTGAAGTTCACTGGGTGACTTTGGATCAGTCACTGCCTCTTAGCCCAACTTATTTTATAAGATTGTCAGAATAAAATGGAGAGGAGGAGAGAAAAAAAATTAGAAACATAGATTTGACTGTATCTATTATACATAAACTTCATCAAAAACAGGCCAAATATCCATATATGTGTCCATTTGAGAGTGGTGTCTGTATACCACCTTTTCGAAAGTTAAAAGTGCTTTTGGGTCCTCAATCCATTGCATTGTAGGAGCTTGCAGTGTTGTAATATTAATTTTTTAGCTTTCAAAAGTGCACGGGAAATCCATTGATGTTGATCATGCATTAACTTCCAAGAAGCTGGTAGATTTTATCTTTTCCCTTTTTATGGTTTTGTCTTGCAGACATGTTTAATAAAAATAAATTAAAAATGGAGAGGAGGAGGGTGATGTATAACACCTTGGGATCCTTACAAGAGGCAGGCAGGACATAAAATAGGAGTTGCTGTTAAGAAAGCAAGCTGAGCTTCTGATGAATCTGAATCGTGTGCCAAAAATGAAACATTAAAGCATGTGCAGCACAGTCTGATTGCTGCAAGCACACAGTGTACTTTTAATTGGCTTAGGGGTGCTGTGTGCACTCCTCTGCTCCAGGTTGTAGCTTCTTGCAGGACGTATGTTTGTTACTGAACATCACAAGTTGTTTGACCCCGACGTAGATCACTTACTGAAAGACAAGGATCTCCGTTCTTTATGGATTTAGGTGCCACGTTGTAGGCAAGCTGCCCAGGACTTTCCAGAAGTATGGCTGGTAATTACTTGGCCAAAAGCATGTTTCTCCATGTAATGGAAACTAAAAGATCAGTGCTGTTTTGTTGATAGTTATAAATACTCATAATTTCTCGTTATAGTAGTTGCATGGCTTATTGTTCTGTATTTATAATTCTTGAGAAGTAAGAAGTACATTTTCCCTGTTTCCAAACACCCTTACACAGAAAAATAAGCTTAGACTGGAATGATAAGCACATTTATCTGGGAGAAAGTCCTGCTGAATTTGATGGGGCTGGCTGCTGAATATAAATACATAGGGGTTTGCACTGCATTTGTAAGCATATCATGAATCCTGTTTTGGTGTAAAGAGTCTGCAATTGGTGCAAAGAGTCTGCCCCAGCTTGATGCACTCCAGAGGTGTTGAAGAGCAATTTCCAGCATCCTCTAGCCGGGCTGCAACATGTGTGGAAGGTTCCAGGTAGGGGAAGACTGAAGCATAATTTAAATTAATCTGTATTACATTCAAATTTCACTTTTAACCAGATTATTTTTTAGCAATGCTTAAATCTAACTGTTTAAAAAAAACAGTGGGCAGAGCAATACTGTTGTCTCTAGGCAGGGGCGTTTGGGGTGCTGCTGTCACCAATTCCAGGGCTCAGCTGGGCTTGTGCCATCCAGGACAGATGGTGTACGGGATGGGGTGGGTGAGGGAGGGAACTGCTTCTCATCTCTTCTGCTGTTTCTTTTGGCCTTGGTTGTCCTTTTCAAAATGTCAGTAAGTTTCAGTGAGAGGGAAAATCAGACTCCCAGCTCTAAGGCTTCATTCCGTCTTCTCTGCCCCACCTTACCACTGTTGGAGCACCAGTGGTGGAAGAGGTACGACAGTAACATTGCTGCTGCTGCAATGCACAGTCTTCTGAGAGTGGTCGTTCTCCACCCTCTCCAACCCTCGCTCTTCCTTTCTTTATGGGGAGTGGCCTATAGCTCATACCAGCACCTTTTGTACCTGCTGTTCATGCAAAGGGGCCCAGGTTCTTTCCACAGTTTTTCCAGATGGGGCTAAGAATGAATCTTGCCTGGAGCATCACTGCTGAATCAGTGTCAACATTAGTGGGCTAGGTGGACCAGGAGTCTAACTATGCAAGGCAATTTCTATGATGCAGCATGTTTCAGTGATAGAGAGGGAAGCCTGTGCCATCCTAAGATTCCTGAGACATCCTCCCAGGAAATCGAGCCCTTATGCATACATTTAAAAAAATAATCCTGTTGTTAAAATTAAATTTACTTCCATTTCTTCTAGTCACTTTACCTTGGATGGCTTCATGCTATTTCTATGAGCAGACAGAGCTGGAAGCTTGGGAAGTTGACCTGTTACTGGGGGAATATAGGTCATTTATTTCTGTAGAGTTCTCTGGAGGTCTTCAGGTTTGGAATATAGAAATGGCATTGATTCTCTACTCTTCCTTTAAAGTACAAATTACACTGCACTGATTTGAATTAAACTAGATTGTCACCAACCAGTTGTTCAGCTGTGTATGTGTGTTATTTACATATAAGGAAGTGCAAATCTTTTGAATTATGAAGCTTCTTTATTGGCTTTCAGGAACCTGTACTTGAAATGAACTGTAGTGTACTTAAATATTATAATCAATCAGAAATATTGCTACATATAGTACTTGAGATTTTATAGAAACATTAGAAGTGCCATTATGGATCAGACAAGAGTCTGTCTGGGCCAGCATTCTGTTCACACGATGACCAACCATCTGTCCATGGCAACAGCACAGGTAGGATCCAAGTGCAACTGCACCATTCCACCAAGTTCCCCAGCAACTGGTGTGCAAAGGCATACTGATACCCAGGCTGGAGGTTGCTTATAGCCCTCAGAACTAATAGCCATTGCTAGCCTACTGATTCACTCCCTTTATCTTTTCAGAGGTTTCATTGAGAAGATGGCTTGCAAGGGACTTGCCAGTTTTGGACAGCAATTGTTACGTCGGAAAGTGGTAGACTGTACAAGAGAAGACAGCCGGCTTTCACGGTGCCTCAACACATTTGACTTGGTTGCTCTTGGTGTAGGCAGCACACTTGGGGCAGGAGTTTATGTTCTTGCTGGGGCTGTGGCCCGAGACAACGCAGGACCAGCCATTGTGATCTCCTTCCTGATAGCTGCTCTTGCCTCTGTGCTAGCTGGACTTTGCTATGGAGAATTTGGTGCTAGAGTTCCAAAGACTGGGTCTGCTTATCTCTACAGTTATGTGACTGTCGGTGAACTTTGGGCCTTCATCACTGGCTGGAATCTAATTCTTTCCTATGTCATCGGTGGGTATTTTTTGTGCCTTTGTGCCATTTAGTCCAAAATGCACATGTGGATGTGTGGAACATCTGTATTATGCCAGGTTTTTTAGCAGCAGTTTCCTTTTGATAGTTCAAAGCCCATTGTTATTATGTTGTAATAGACATAGGAAATGTGCAATATATTTGGATAAGGAAGACTGGTTAACAGACTCAGACTTGGCTAGCGAATGATGGAGTGCTTCTACTAGAAAATGAACAAGGCTTCACTTCAAAATTGTGCTTAGAGCCTCTGAGAACGAGAGATTCGAGGGTCCCAGGTTCTGTGCTGAATTTGTGGCCTAGGTTTCATTCTTGGTTTTGGGACTAGTCTGTACATGGGTTGCTTTTGCTTTATTTTGAATTCCTTGAGAGTGTCAGTAAGCACATAGCTAGGACTGATCCAGTAGACATTGCTTTCTTGAATTTCCAGAAGACCTTTGATGAAATCCTTCAAAGATTCCTGAGAAAACGTATCCTATCTATCTATCTATCTATCTATGTATGTTATGACACATGTATGCTGCCCCATAGCCCAAGGGCTCTCTGGGCAGCTCACAAAAAACAATGGCATAGAGAATAAAATCAGTAAATTTAAAACTAATAATCCAAACATTATAAAAACAAATAAATACAGTGGGAGCAGGAGGCAAATGCACATACAAATTAAAGCAACCAGTGAAAAAGTCATAATAAGAAACCATGTACAAAATAAAAAATGTTTTCACCTTAGCAGATACGGAGTAAGAAGGAGTCATCCTCTTATGGATTAGTAACTGGCTAAGAAATAGAAAACAGAGAGATGAAATTAAATGGTAATTTCTGCCAATGGAGGGATGTAAACAATGTGGTTCTGTATTAGGACTGATGATTTTCAACCTGCCCTTGAATGATCTGGAATTTGGAGCAAGAAATTGCCATTGGAATGACCAAATTCACTGATGATACCAAACAATTCAGAGTGGTTAAAACTAAAAGGGATTGTGAGGAACTCCAATGGGATCTCTCCAGGCTGGGAGAATGGGCATCAACTGGCAAATGCTGTTCAGTGTAAGCAAGTGTAACGTAATGCATGTAGGGGCAACAAATTCTAATTTCAAGTATAGGCTGGTGGGATCTGAGCTTGCAGTGATTGATCAAGAGAGGGATCTTGAGAAGGTGGTAGACAGCTCCATGAAAATGTTGATCATTGCGCAGCTGCTGTGAAAAAGGCAAACTCCATGTTAGGCATAATTAGGAAAGGGATTGAAAATAAAACTACTGTGTACTTCCCATATACAAATCTTTGGTGCAGCCACGCTTAGAATGTTGTGTACAGTTCTGATCAGTGTGGCTGAAAAAGGACATTGAGTTGTAAAATGTGCAGAGAAGGGCAACTAAAACAATGAAGGGGTTGGAGCAGTTTCCCTCTGAGGAACAGTTACAAGAACTGGGATTGTTTAGCTTAGAAAAAAGGAAAGTAAAGAGAGAGATGCAAAAAATAGAGAGGGAGACCTTTTTTCTATTTCTCTCATAATACCAGAACCTGGGGTCATTCCATGAAGCTGATTGGTGGAAGATTTGGGACAGATAAAAAGGAAGTTCACACAGTGCATAGTTGAACTATGGAATTCATTGCCGCAGGAAGTAGTGATGGTCACCCATTTGGGTGACTTTAAAGGGGAGTGGACAAATCCATGATGGAGTGGCTATCAGTGGCTACTAGCCTCAATGGCTATTCACTGCTTCCATTATCAGAAGCAGTATGGTTGCATACAGTAGTTGCTGAGTTGCTCGAGGAGGCAGAACTCTTGCACCCATCCTGTTTGAGCAATCCCGTGGCCTGCTGGTTTCTCAAGATGTGAACTGAGTACTGAACTGGATGGACCACAGGTTTCATCCAGCATGGCTTTTCCTACGCTTCTTGTGCTCTAATGTTCTTATTTGTCATTGTGCACCCAAGTGCGGCTGTGCATTTGCAGTCCTTTGTTGGATTGGCTCTGTAGCCAAGGTCCCTTTTTGTCTTCAAATCCTGTTTGAAAGGAGGCAAGGAGACCAAATCCGACCCCCCTCCTTTTCCCCCACTTAGCTAGGTAGTCAGCGTGGGCAGAATTATCATAATATCCTTCTGTTTGAGGGATAGAGCATGTGTAAGCCAGTGCACATGTTTCTGTATCACTTATTTATTTTAAATATATATGTTTGCTTTTTTGAAATTCACCCCACCCCCAGTGTAATTCTAATTTAAAGTAATAAATACAAACAAAAAATAAACCAAGCAACAGTATCTAACTGTCTGCAGTGGTGCCCCAGAAGGACATGGAGAAAATGTAACCTTCCTAAAAGCAAGTAAAGAAATGGAGTTTTAAATTTCAAGGGGGAAAGGGTTCTGTTATTATGCAGAAGTACAATGTTTACTTCATATATTCTTGGAATGCAAAACAGAGTCTGATAAGATCTATGCATCAGGGTGTGGCATGTTGTGGGTGTGGGTGTGTTTCTTTTTTTTAATCAAAGATGTAACATGCAAAAGAGAACATAACATGATGCAGTTGCAGAGTTTAGACTCATAAGTTATACAGTATCTTTAGATGATCATATCCTACCTAATTAAGTTGAGATATCTGTGCAGCCCCTTCACTTCTCCCCTTTTCACATGCTGTGATTTAACTAGGAGCCCTGAACTTAATCATAGTCCCATTTTGTCCAAGTAGAATTATAAATGTTGGAATAACCCAGGATATTGAACAAAGGTTTAGTTTAAATTTAGTTTAAGGTCCTGGTTTCTGGTAACCATGGTTTCCTGGCTCAGATGAAACAGGAGACTGTAATACATTAGGCTAATTATTATAGGCTTCCTGGATTAATCACAGCTTGAGCAAAGGGGTTCTTTATATGAGGAAAAAGCTCGTGCTTATCTTCACTTAATGAGATTAGAAATGATTGATTGTCTAAAGTAGCTCATACTTAAATATTAATATTATTAGGAGGGTTAAAGGCAACTTTCTGTAGAAAGTTAATAGGACATAGAATTAGTAAAATGAATAAAATATTTGGGAAATGGTATGCTTGAGTGTGTTCATTTTCTTTAAGTGGAAAATGAACATGGTCAATTGAGAACTGTGGTAAGGTAGAGCCTTTTCCTTGATGGGCTTGGTTTGTTTGTTTGTTTTATAATGCAAAATGCTTTTACTTGGGTGGAGGGGGCATGTAAAGTATGAGTTTCTGCATTATGAAATGCCATAGTCTCTACTAGACAATATCACATAATGATGCATAGTCTTGATCTAATACATGCATGAAACTTGTTTGATTTTATTAAACCAAATATCTGTGTGGTGCATGCATTTTGCTACATTTTATGTTGTTGAATATTGAGAAATTGGTTTCCCTTCTAGTAAATTAATGTCCCTCTAAGGAAATACATATTAGCTTGTGTTAATGTAATTTTTTTTCTATTTGAATGTCCAGACAGGAAGCCTAATTTAGTATGTTGACATTGCATCACCTAACCAGGAACACCCTTAGGGAATTCTGCATCATTATAGCAACTATGGTTTAAAATCTAGGTGAGGCAGGTTTTTCCCTGGCAGTTACTGGAATGCAGCTGAACAATGTTGCTCAGTCATGACATCTGAACTATTCAGAATGTCTTCTGTGGGAGGTTCTTGTCCAAAGGCAGGTCATTTAGCTCATGTTAATTTTATAAATTGGAGTAGAGAGGAATGTTCTTGCTTTAAAAAAAAAAAACTTACAGAAGCACAGCATGAACCCATTTATGAAGAGGATTTGTTCACAAAAAGAAATAGGAGTGGTGATGTAGGAAGGGCGTGGAGGTAACATACATCAGACTTCAAAAGCTTCTTATTTATTTACGTATGCTGGGTGTTCAGACACATTATTTTTGGAATTTCCTCGCTTTGTAGGCTTTTAGAGATGTTGGAAAACACAACCCCAATTGATCAGAGAATGGCCCCCTGCAAGTCATTTTATGTTGTTTTCCTGCAGAGCCCCCCCCCCCCCAACATTAGGCTGGGGCTCAAAGTACAAAGTTGAAAAACTGGCTTTGTAGTAGCGAAGTTCTGCAAGTGCTTGGAGCATATTCACATAGGCTGAAGAGTACAGTATGTGAATTTATGAATTGCACTAAACAGTATCATAATCTTAGTTCAGAACACTCAACTGTTCATAACTGGTCTTGACAAATGAAACTGTTTTGACTCCAAACCAGGAAATAGGTTGCTTTCTTCTGAGCCCAACAATGCGTTGTAACACTATTACATGGCTGGCATGGGTAGCATTGGGGATTGACATCGTGGGGCACCTGCTGGGGCCCTGTGCTGAACCCCACAGTCCCTTAGAACTGTTCCCTGTGTGCCTGCATTTGGTGAGTATGCATATGGTACACTATATGAGAACCAGTGTGGTAAAGTGTTTAAGAGCGTGGGTCCAGGACTGGGTTCTAGTCCCTGCTCAGCCATGGAGCCAACTGGGTGACTTCGGGCCAGTCACAGATTCTCAGCCCAGTCTATTTCACAAGTTTTTTTGTTGTGGGGTTAGGTTGAGAGTGATAGGAGGAGAATGATGTAACCCATTTTGAGCTTGTTGTAAGAATAAAGTGGGATATAAATCAAATAAATATAGTAACAAAATTAAGGTGGTGGAACAAGCATCCATCACTTGCTTAGCCTTCTGCCTGGGCCATTGTCTGGAATGGGGCTACAGTAGTTTTCTGGGGCTGCTATGGAAGTGAAAGGTGCTTCTCTTTTTCTATCTTATAGCCATGTGTGTGAAAGGGCACTGAGGGATTTTTTTCCCCTCTGGTTTTAATTAAAAATGGAGTTTGAGAAGAACTTGGGGTCGTACTGTCTTAATCTGTATTTACAGCATGCAATCTGAGCTAAGTTTCTGGTTGCAACATTTACATCTTTCAAAATAATTGGCATTTTAAAAGTTTAGGATAACAAGCCTCCTGAGTTCTTGTTTCTGCACTCCTGATGCAAACGGCTTCTCTGGCTGAGCCAGTTCATCCACAGTCCTGTTCATTTATGAGAGTAAATGTGGCACTCACATGACTATCAGTGGCCTGAAGCCAGTAATGTAGGCAGCAGTAAGGACAGGGTGATACACATTTCAGAAGAGAAGGGTCACCCTTGCTTTGTATCCACTTGCAACCTGTTTTTCTTGCTTTTCCTTTCTCCTGTAATGAAACAGTGACTTCCAGGACCTGAGGCCATTTTCTGTTGTACCAGCCTGAAGCTAAAGCTGTTCTATAATCAGCAGCATAATGGTGCTGGGGTCGCAGTTTCCACACTTCTTGATGAGCAGGAACACTGATGCCATTGTCCACCCCTTCCGAATTCCTTGTTATTTCTGAAACCCTCACAGTGAATGATTTCTTCAGCAGCTCTGTATAGTTTGTTTATTTATTAGATTCATATCCTGCCTTTTTTCTTACAAAGAACTCAAAATGGCTTACACCATTCTTTTCTTCCTGTTCTCAATCTTATCTCCACAACATCAACCCTGCGAGGTAGATTGGGCTGAGAATCTGGCCCAAAGTCTCCCATTTGGCTCCATGGCTAAGCAGGGACTAGAACCCAGATCACCTGGGTCCCAGTCCCATGCTCTTAATGGCTACACCACACCGGAATTGCTGCTCTTATTCCTTTTCCAATGTAACTGCTGTTCTTTTTCTAATGCAAAATATTTAGCCTTGACTTGAATGAGCAATTAAGATATATTATGTTTAGGAAAGACCTGTTCCCAGAGGAGATGGAAACAGGTAGAACTGTTTTGCTTTGCTTTAAATCTGTATCTACGGAGCCTTCTCCCTTTTGGGCCTTCCCTTGAGGGCACTGCTATAGGGACAGTTATGATGAGCACCTGGACTTCTAAGTCTATGATTACACCACTGACCACAGCAAAAGATGGACTTTTCCCATTGCAAGTTCCCCCTGTTTGAAGTGGATGCTTCCCTGGGCCAGCTCCCACTATGCTCCTGCAACTTTCTAATAGGGGAGACTGCACTGGGGGATGTGTGGTGATGGAACCTCCTCAGTGAAGGACTTAAGCTGCCCTTTGATGCAAGGACTTGCATTTCTTATTTCAGCGCTTCTCTGGGCTACACATCTAGGTGTCATCAGGCTCTGTATACTGTCCAGCTCCTGGTGGCGGCTACCTGAGAAGACTATTTCTTGGGCAAGGTCTTTGCCCACAGTGTCTTACTTTATGTGGTACTATGAATCATCTGGAAATATGGTACTATGAATGGTATGGTAGTACCACCTGACAAAGGGTGGTAGACAATAAAATAAACAAACAAACAGTTTTCAATGCCTGTTCTCTTGACAGGAACATCAAGTGTGGCCAGAGCATGGAGTGCGACATTTGACGAGCTCATAGGCAAGCACATTGAGATGTTCTTTCGACAGTATATGTCCATGAATGCTCCTGGTGTGCTAGGAGAATACCCGGATGTCTTTTCTGTTTTCATTATTGTCATCTTAACAGGTAAGAGAAAGCAGCAGAGAAAAAGCTGCTTTGGAAAGATTTTCTGGGCTATGAGTTTGTTGCCCTACTGTAGTTTCGTTGTTGAGTTTTGCAGGAAGGGCAAACAGTGTCATTTATTTTGGGCTTGTTTTTCAAGCTTTCTTGTTTGCCGCAAACATATGTGAAATATCAATTTTTGAAGGGGTGGAGGTGCAAGCTGGAAATATTTGCGAACTGGAGGATTTGGATTAGCTTCTCCAAACTCTTGCCTTTGTAACCCACCAATTTATAGAGTGTTTCAGCCAGGAAGATGTTAGGGACAAGGATAGAACTGCCATCATATGCGTCAATGGCTGTTTAGAAGACTCCGAACATGACAAAAATTGACTTCTGTAAGGGTAGAATTTATAAAAGAAAAGAACACCCAACCTTGAAGTTGCATGTCAAATGTGCTGAAGAGTCAATTGAAAAAAAATATGAAGTTAACATAAACTAATATTTTACTGATGTATTTTGGTACTGGTTGGACTGATCTTGTGAATGGTCCCAGGGCATGTCAAAATGACAGCTCTGCTGAAGGCAGATTTTACAGGTCACGGCTAGAAAGTCCTTTTTACATCTTACTTCTGCACCGATTGCAACAGATCCTCCATCTTCATTGGGAATTGCTTTTGAAAATGCCCTCAAGTTTCAAAATTAGTCTGTCAAGCCTGTGGATAGGTACTATTTTCAAATTTATTAAAATTAATTAAAATGTGTTTGTGAGTTTAAAGCTTCCAGTCACATCGCTAGTCACTAAAAGTGGAAAAATTTTCTGTCCATTGCTTAAATTTGTAGTTGATACTGTTTGATGCCAGGGGGGATTAATTGGAGGGACAGAGCTCTATGGATGCCTTTTACTGCTGCTGTAGGAAAATCTTCCCCTCAGTGGAATGGAGTGGATAGACCACTCCTTTGTGGGGTCCATATATGGGGCCATGCCTAGGTGTGCCAGAAGATGTGGCTTCATGCAGACGAAGTATGTCCAAGTCTGACAGCTGCTTAACTTTGAACATTTTGTTATATCAAACCCATGTCAAACCAGATCTTTTTGCTTTTGCTTGAGTCAGATACAAGATACATGCAATGGTTGGTGAAAACCCCTATTCACACAAGCAGTTAGTGATGCTTGAAACATGAAACAGAAACTGGGCTGGAGGCAGGGGCTTACTTGCTTAGTGAATTCTTGGTGTGAAACTGCAGGTTTATCTAGCAGCATTGAAAATTACACCAATGGAAATGTGTTGATGCAACTCTTTCTAGAAGTAAAATACTTTTCTAGTTGTTCTCACTGATAGTGTTATATATATTTAATTATGCACTGTATATTTTCTAGGACTTCTAACTTTTGGTGTGAAAGAATCAGCAATGGTTAACAAAGTCTTCACCTGCATCAATGTTCTCGTCTTGGGCTTTGTGATGGTGTCAGGTTTTGTGAAGGGATCGATAAAAAACTGGCAGATCCCAGAAAACTTCACAGTTGTCAAGTATGTGCCTGGTTTATTTTACCTAAAAAATGTGTGGGTGGATGTGTACAGGTGCACCTAATATGCTGTACTGGGTATGGAGCAGTTCAAATATGACTCTCCTCTCCTCAATTTCCAGGCTGTGCATGGTTTGTGTGTACCAGTGCCCCTGCTTGCACGGTTTTCTGTGATAGTGACAATGTTATTTGAGCATCCCCCACTGTAGGGCTCAGGGCAGCAAAGACTGCATCCCACACATAGAGATGTCATTTTCCATGGCTACCACCTCTGGTTCAGTCCAGTGCAGTGGGGAACCCAGCAGCAGACCCTGGGGTGATCATGCAGAGGCATGGCACACAAGTTGGCACACAAGCTCCACTGCAGTTTTGTAGGCTTCATTTGGTCCATGTCCGGTCCAAGGTTGCACTTTCAGAAGAGAAGATTATGCAAACCTTGCAGATCTGAGGAACAGTGGAATAGGAGACTTGGTCAAAGCCGGCAAACACCACTGCTTTCCTTCAGGGAAGTTAAGAAAAAAAATCCTTCAGAAATGTCATTGCTGAGTCTGTCCCAATGTTTCCAGTAAGAGAGGGCTCTGTCCTTACCTCTTGCCAAGCAGGGTTCCTTGCAGCCCTGCTAGGCCACACAGAGAGCCTTTTGTCTGTCCTGACTCAGGACATTGGCGGCTGCTAGGATCACAGCTTCTCTGGAATTTGATTGACTGGGATAGGGCCTGATTGCAAGAGATAGACGATATAACTTCTCCCTTTCTTTGTCTGCTGCCTTCATTTATCTCTGCCCTTCTCCTGGAAGAGTACAGACTTGGTTAATGTCACCTTTGCTTTAAGGAATAGTGTTGGCAGTAGCATTTTGCGATTTATTTGCAGCTGACTCAGTAGCTCCTTCCAAGTATACCTCTCAGCCACCATGGGCCAACTATTTGTAAATGGATATAGGAGCTACTACTAGATTTATGTAATAATGCCTCTTAGTTGTTCTTTAGCATATCATATGACACTGGAATAAAATCATGCCTCTGTTAATTGGATGAATTATGAGTCTTAGAAAAGAAATTGATCCATATAGGAATATAATGTTTCTCAGTGTGGGTCTAGGAAGTAAGAGAGAGCCCCTCTGAAGTACTCATTGAGGGTGGGCAACTTTTTGTTGTTGAGGGCTGCCTTCTCTTGGGGCTTCATGTTGGCAGGGGGTGAGGCTGAAGCCAGTGGGGGGCATGGCCACTCCTTCACTCTTTTTTTACTTTTCTATTTTGCCTTTCCTTCAGGGAGCTGAAGGCTACCGGCACGATCCTTCTCCAGTTTATTGTTACAACAGCCCTCTGAGGTCGCTAAGGCTGAGCGTCAGTGAGCTTCTTGGCCAGCTGGGGAGTAGAATCTGGGGCTGCTGAGTCCCAGCCCAGAACTTTTAACTGTTCTGCCACACTGGCATTTGTTTCTCTCCCTCCATTTCACCGCTCAGCAGTCTCCTGAGGAAGAAACAAATTGCTTTTCACAGAATCAAAGAATGATAGACTAGTAGAGTTGGAAGGGGCCACGAAGGCCATCAGGACCAACCGCCTTGCTAGAGTTCTAAACTGACAGCTTTCAGAGGGCTTTTGAAATTAGTCTGAGGTCTACTGGTTGCCCAGGCTGGGCTTAATTGGTGCTCTTACTGTGGCTGTAGTGAGGCCACTTTAAACTACGTGAAGTGCGGGGTATTCCTGTGGGACAGGTTGTTGTGGTTGGGTCATGCTGCTGGTCTTGTGTCTCTAGTGATGGCACGACTGAAGTGGGCTAATTGCTTGGGGTGAACTTTTGCTATAGGAATGGTTAATTAATGGTTAGGTTATGTAAGAATTATTGAACATACATTTAACCTATAGAGTCTGAGGAACATCGAATCATGCACTGTGGCAAATCAAGTGTTAATTCTGTTGACCATTGTTATGTGCAAATAACTCCTGTATTTGCTAAAAAGGATAGGGGGAATCCATAGGGCAAATGTTCTATTTTAGTCTGCGGTAGTGAAAGCAACAGCTGTGTAACATTTCAGTCATCCTGTTAGTCTTTTAGGTGTCACAAACTATTTGGTCTTTTTTGTAGTACAGAATGGTTAAAATGAACGAAGTGTCTCTAGCGTCTTTTATGCAGCATCGAGTCAAGGTGCTTTATTCTGACCTTGTTATTTGCTGTCAAGTTGCCTCTGACCTGTGGCAACCCAATGAATGAGACCCCCTCCAAAACACACTGTCCGTGGCAGCCCAGTTGAATACAACTGTAAACTCAGAGCTGTGGTTTCCTTTATGGAATCCATTTGTCCTGGTTCTGCTTCATCAATAGGGTTTGCAAGATAAGAAATATTCACAAGTAATTTCCCATTGCCCTCTTCTGGGCAGTACTAACAAGACTTAGCTTGAGTGTCACCACCATTGACTGTGCAAGATCCCTTGCCAGGTGTGTGCTGCAACTACCACTGCTGCCCAATAGTGCAACAGCTGCAGTTCAGGACTTTCTCTGTCCTCATCAGCATTAGAGAGAGCCATTTGCTTCTGCTGATGTGACTCCTCCTCCTGAAGAGGGTGGATGCTTCTTAGTCTGGTGTCTCAGCTTTGTCCATTTTGCTTTGGGTGACTCTGCTAGGAGACCAGCCTAGTGAGAAAGGTGGCGTTGCTTTTGGTTTCTCTGACTCTCAGAACCTCTTGCCACAGTAGGACCTGCATTTAAGAGAGGTGGACACACTGAATGCACAAAGAAAAATGATAAAACCTTGAGCCTACTTGAAACAAAATGTACTGCCAACACATTTTACAGTGGGTGAAGTGGGTACAGTGATCTACTAAGCTAAAACTTCCTAAAACATAATGTTGTCCTTTTGTTTTCACATTCTCCTAGGTACAAATTTTAAGTTGGGTTGTAAGAACTTGGCAAATCTTGGCTGATACCTCTTTTGAAGAAGTGGGAAGTAGTTAAGAGGCTTAGGATTTTCTTACTGATTTAAAAAGCCATGCTTCATCTAATAATGGAGGAGCAATAAAAATCTTCCAACCCTTTCCTAAATAAAGCTGTAAGATTTTTGAAGGAAATACAGCCCTCTTTGGAAATGAATAAAATGTGTTGCCCAACCAGTCCCATGTCTACTCAGAAGTACATTGCACTGAGCTCAGTAAGATTTCCTATGTAAGCTTGGGATGTTTTGTGGTTTGTAATCTGAAACATGTTGTATAGAGTACAGTGGTAGAACTCCAAATGTTTGGACATGCCTAAATGATTTGGGGTGCAATCCTGTGCATGTTTAGGCTGAAAAAATGCTGTATGCCTTAGAGCTTCCAAAAAGGCTGGCTAGAGCTTTTGTTTTTTGTTTTTGTTTTGCCTAAACATGCATATAGGCATTGTATCCTTAGACTTGTTTAACAGACCAACCCTCACCCCAGGCAGTTCTGGGAACTGTAATTTGGTACAGTTATCAGCAATTCCAAGATCTTCACCAAACCGCAGTTCTCAGGATTTTTCGAGGGCTGCCATGATGGATAAACTGGCCTAAAACCATTGTACATTTCTAACACAGATAGGTCTGGCCTGTATCAGCCATGTGTTTAGGTGGATTGAATTCCCTGTGTTACAAGATATCCTTGGAATTGGCTAGATTGGTTAAGCTCTGCTTTCTTTTTGCTGTTTTTAGTGTCACGGATGTTAAACTTGGCAGTGGTGGATTTACACCCTTTGGTTTCTCGGGTGTCCTCTCAGGGGCAGCAACCTGCTTTTATGCATTTGTAGGATTCGACTGCATTGCCACCACAGGTAAGGTTCCAGTGAGCAGGCACTGCTCTTCCATTATGAGATTGGGGGATGGGGTTTACAGGAAATCATGCTTCTTAACACTGCAACGTCTGAACACCTGTCAGTGAGGGCAGACCTGCATAAAGGTAACCAGAGGACGTTCGGTTAATCATTTGGCTTCTGACCAGTTGCTCTCCTTCACTAAATGTGTATAAATTTACGTGCTACAGCAAGTTATTAAATGAGCCCTTTAAGGATTCTGAACAAAGGTGACAGCATCTTTTAATGAAACTATTTAAAGGAATAACCACTTCTTCAACCACTTCTTGTTTTGGGAAAGAAAAACCACCTCTATTTTTGTTAAATTTTTGGAGTAGGCAGAGGTTTCACAAAAGCAAACTTGTTTTGATTCTCTTTTCTGAACTGACTGGCTTTCTCTAGTCATAGTTTCAGATAGTTGCAGTGGGTTGTTTGTAGTGGCAAAACAAGAGCATATCTTGTTCATGATACACGCAGAGCTGAAACCATTTCTCAAAGCATGGATCTGGCCAAGTTGCATGCTCGTTTTGATCAAGAGAAGGTACTATGTGGTAGGTACAAGGAATCCCTTTCCACAAAGCCGACGAATTGACTGATTATAATTGACATACTTTTCAAATCTCTTGAGAACATTTTCAAGTTAATGTAATTGTACTGATTACATTATGCAGCTCTAATAATAGCCCATGTAATCCATGGTAAGGTAGCTCAGTGGCAGAGCACCTGCTCTGCATGCAGATGGGCCCCCAGTCCTGGTCATCTCCTGGTCAGGCTGGGAAAGAATCTTGCCTGGAACCTTGGAGAACTGCTTCCAGTTGGTGTAGTCCATACTGTGCTAGATGGAAACAGTCTTGCTTGGTATAAAGCAATTTTGTGTTCCTAAATGTTTATTATCTATATATTTCTACGCTGCTGTTCAAGACCCAGCATCTCACAGTAGAACAAATTACTAAAATACAACTTTAAAATGATAAAAACAAAAACAATAACTATCATATCAGCAAAGTAAAAAAGGATCAAAAGAATTCAGAACTGCAAGTGGCTCATGAGCCCGTTTGGCCACCCCGGCATGTACAGTAGCTATTAACATGATATGCAAATGTTATTGCAAAATGGTTATGCAAATGGCTTGTCTGTGGCTCACTGCTTATCTGAATATTGTTTATAATTACCTTACTGGCTCAAACGAGCTTTTAGTTAATTTAATTTGTTTAACTTATATTTTGTTATTGAGTATTTATTTACTTCTTGGCTGTTAACTTATTGGTTGTGTTTACCATGCTGTGTGTGGTTTTATAATTTCTTTTGTGAGATGGTTGTAACCCATTAATTTTACTGGTTTTATTTGTTTATATTCTGTTTTCAGCATTGCAAGCCTTTCAGAGAACCTTTGGGTTATGGGGTGGCATAGAAGTGGAATGAAATAAATAAATATTTATAGGGCATTTTTCTTGGCTTTTCTAAAAATAATGGTGTTTAGGGCACAATCCTATGCATGTTTTGACAGAAGACAAGTCCTACAACTCCCAGAAATCCCAGTACTTCTATCTATCTATAGAAACATAGAAACAGAGCAAGCAATGGTCTCCCAGGTCATCTAGTCTGACCCCCAGCTCCAGCCAGCTCCGCTCATGACATGCCTACCATGTGCATGTCCTATATATAGGGTTGCATTCTAAGGGATCTGAATTTCCTTTGCTGGGAATATATGTTCCACTTACCAGTTGGATTCTATTTCCATGATAAATTTTGCAGGTTTTAGTTTTTAAATAAGTCTAAATAAAAGGCATGATCTGTGAGGCCAAGAGCACCTTGGCTGTTCCTTCTGCTCTGCATTGGAAGGTTGTCAGCCCCTGAGTTCAGAGGCTGGTGATTGCCTTGATGAGATTGTACCATAGTGAAATAATGGAAAACATTTGGGAAATTTGAAAGAGAACTTTTAGCAAATGCCCACATTTAAATTCAGTATATTTGGATGTTCTTGACAGCTATTGAGTCAATAAAGGAGAAACATTCCTATTTTACAGAGAAGTGGAGGGAATAATTTCCAATTAGCATTTTTTTGTTAAAGGGAAAGAATGAATCCATTCAGTGCTTGAATTGTGTAATAACTTTTTCTGTGTTTGTGGCTTTTTTGTAGGTGAGGAAGTAAAAAAACCCCAGAAAGCAATTCCAATAGGGATTGTAGCATCGCTTCTAATATGCTTTGTCGCATACTTCGGCGTGTCAGCTGCTCTCACCTTAATGATGCCTTACTACCTGTTAGATAAAAATAGCCCACTACCAGTTGCTTTTAAGTATGTGGGATGGGAAGGCGCAAACTATGCCGTGGCTGTTGGTTCACTCTGCGCCCTTTCTACAAGGTAAGGAGCTCTGGCTTCCTTTCTACTGGCACAGTGAGCGCTTATGCTTCACCTGTCCCGTTTTAAAGTATGGATGCTCAAAATGCAAGGAGTACCTCACAAGGTTGTTTCTGTCTGCCTTGTTAGGTTTCATGCTGCTGTCATTCAGATGTAGAATTGGAGGACATAGATGGTGGCTTTAAAAATATTTCTACAATAAGGGAAGCAGTGTGGCTTAGTAATAGAGTCCAAGCTTTGTGTGGAAGAGGGCCTGGGTTTAAAGCCTGCTATTTTGCAGCAGCGTTGGGAAAGGCCCCTGCCTCAAAATCCTGGAGACCTGCTGCCAGCCAGCATTGACCTGTGACTTGGGACCCCCAGGTACCTCAGTCCATCTCAGAGACAGCCTAGGATCCCGTGAGTGGAGCTTAACCTCCAAGAGGCATCTGGATACTGTGTGAAACCCAGCATTCTGCCCATGTGGAAAAGGGTGGCTTACACTTCAAGACATTGACGGAGCCCAAGCACATGGGTCCTACATGGGAACATTGGTTCTGTGCAAAGCCTTGGACCCATGCAAAGAAGAGCAGCTGCTGTTCTCCATGTCAGCAGAATTTCTTTCTCCTTGCCTCTTTCAGCATGGAAAAAAACTAAAATAAGTACAGCCAGTTGATTGTAGCTGAAAGTACACCCATTAGTCATTCAGTCTGGGAAAGATTTGGTGGGGACAGTCCGGAAGAAAGTCCTTCATCCTTGGCTCAGTCAAGACCAAGTTAGGTAGCGTGTCAGCAGGCCTGCTGGAAGAAGCAGCTGCCTGTGTTCTATGGCAGACAAAGCCTGGCCCTCCACACCAGGTATCAACTTCTCTGTTGTAAAAAGAAATGATCTGTTTGTATTCTGAAGTTTAAATGCCGAGTTCAGTTAGTTGATCACACATGGTTGGTTATCTTAATGAGACAGGATACCAGAGGGCTTCTAAAACTGTTTTTTTGCAGCCCATGGAGTTCTCAATTCCAGCTCTAATTGAAGAGAAGAAAAACCCTCTAGGCCTTACAGCTGTAAGATGGCAGAGCATCTCTGTTTTCTCCCCATTTAATTACTCTTCTTTTAGGTGCTGTAATTGGCAAGTATCTTCATTCCCCCAAGCAGCTTTCCCTAACTTGGTTCCCTGCTTTCCTTAAGCTAAGCTTAAGATGGTACTTCTGGAAGCTTCAGAATGGCTTTTGTCTTATGCAAGAGTTTTGGCTTACAAGTTGCGTGTTTAACAGGAGGTTATGCTCTTGTCCATTTTTAGTCTGCTTGGATCCATGTTCCCAATGCCTCGAGTTATTTATGCTATGGCAGAAGATGGGCTACTGTTCAAGTGTTTGGCTCGTGTTAATGAAAGAACAAAGACTCCAGTGATTGCTACATTAGTATCAGGAGCTGTTGCAGGTAGGATTCTGTGATCCTTTAGGACTGAACTGAGTGGATGTTACGCATTAAAAATGAGTGGACTCAGCGACTGTTGACAACTGAGCTGCTGGTGATAGCATGAGATGACGGTGTTATCACCAGTTATTGCAGCTGTGAGTGAGCCCTGTTTCCTTTGGGAACATTTACTTTTAGCTTTTCATTAACATTCAACCTGCATTTATATTTCCCCCCTCCCCCCTCTGTGTGCGTGTGTGTATATGTGTGTGCGTCTGTGCCTCTGTTTGCTAACTGAGGATAAGAACCATCCAGTGAATGCATCTCTTCATTAAGCATCTGACAAACCTGGATGGGTTGGAGAGGGAGCTAGAATTGCTGTTAGTCCTGATGAACATATTTTACTGCTAGCATGAGAGTCAGCATGCCCCTGAATGCCAGTTCCTAGGGAATGTAAGCAGGAGGGCGCTATTTATTTATTTGATTTATATCCCACCTTTGCTTGGATGTTTGGAATGACTAGTTAATATAATGATTCGGAATAACATGTATAATGTACCACTTGTATATAATTGCAAAATCATCACATACGTACTTAATTAAGGAGTTTTGTGATTTTATATAATTTTGCATTATTTAATGCAAGTCTTGTCTAGTACATATACTAAGAGATTGGGCCAGGATTAAAACAAAGATACGTGCACATAGCCAGATGCTGTTCTTGCTGGTTTTTTTCATTGCTTCTGTTGCAAAAAAGAAGAGCTATAGCTCAGTTTACAAAAGTCTTCTGTAGGCTGCTGCAATGTACACCGCAAGACAAGCTCTCCCGGTGTAGGCAGTGTGGACCAAGTGTACACCTTTTTTAAGATACTGCATTAGTCTTTTTATTCATTTTTCTTGGGCTTCTCCCTTCTCTCACAAGAGACCAGACTGTTCTAGGGCTGACTGGAACAGAGGGTGAACAAAGACTGAACTGTCAGGGTTAAATAGGCTTGTATATGCAGTGATATATTTATTTATTTATTTATTTAAAACATTTCTATGCCGCCCCATCGCAACAAAGCCTCAGGGCGGCTCCATCTTGGCTATATATATATTAAAATCTATAAATACAATAATAATAAATTAATAACTTTTAAATAAAAAGGTCTTTGCCTGGCGTCAAAAAGCAAATAATGATGGCGCCAGGCGGACCTCTCTGGGGAGCGCATTCCATAGGTAGGGCGCCACCGCAGAGAAGGCCCTTCTCCGGATACTCACCCTCCTAATATCATTCACGGAGGGTTCCCAGAGAAGAGCATCCGCTGCCAATCGTAGGGGGAGGGAGGGCATATATGGATGCAGACGTTCCTTTAGGTAACCAGGACCCAAGCCGTTTAGGGCTTTATAAGTCATAACCAACACCTTGAATTGGACCCGGACTTCAGTAGGGAGCCAGTGAAGCTGACGGAGAACTGGGGTTATACGAGAACAACGCCCAGTCCCTGTCAGCAACCTGGCAGCTCTATTTTGCACCAGTTGAACTGTCTGGATCGTCTTCAAGGGTAGCCCCACGTAGAGCGTGTTACAGAAGTCTAGTCGGGAAGTTACCAATGTGTGTGTCACTGTCACTAGGCAGTTGTTCTCCAGGAAGGGACGCAGCTGATGGATCAGCCGAAGCTGAAGGAAGGTGCTCCTTGCCACCGCCATACCTGAGCTTCCAGTGACAGCTCAGGGTCGAGGAGCACTCCCAAGCTGCGAACCCTGTCCCTCAGAGGGAGTGCAACCTCATTTAGGACAAGGCCCAAGTTCCCCACCCCGAAGCCCAAGCCACCCACCAACAGGACCTCCGTCTTGTCTGGATTGAGCTTCATTTTATTGGCCCTCATCCAGCGCATTACCTTGGCCAGGCACCGGTTCAGCACAGCCACTGCCTCACCTGGATTGGTGGAAAACGAGAGCGTACTGATGATTCCTCAGCCCACACCTCCTGATGACCTCTCCCAGTGGTTTCATGTAGATGTTAAACAGCAAAGGGGACAAAATGGACCCCTGCGGTACTCCATGGCATAGCTGCCATGGCGCAGAGCCATAGTCCCCCAGCACCACCTTCTGGAATCGGCCATTGAGATAGGAGCAGAACCTCCGCAAAGCGGTGCCTCCAACTCCCAATTCCGCTCGCCATATATCCTACCACTCTGTCTGTGTCTCCCTCCCACCAGCTGTGATGGCCTTTCTCTTGGACCTGAAGGATCTCGTCGACCTTATGTCCATTGGGACACTCCTGGCCTACTCCTTGGTGGCTGCCTGTGTATTGGTACTAAGGTATGGAAAAATCTCTCTGTATTATACTTCAGAAGGAAGCAAGAGTCCAGCATCCATAGTTGGGCAATATATATGGCTGTTAGGATCAACTGAAAGTGTGCAAGTTTCCAGTTTTTCACAACTCTTCCTCCAACTATGTAGTACAAAAAGCAGGGGTTGTAGAAAGAAATGAATTCTGAAAATTTGGCCATGCATTGTGGCTCTGAAGGCTACAGTTTAGGTATATTCAGCCTCAAAATGGAGATTTTTGGTCTTAATGAATGAGGTCTGCACCCTGGTAGTGTTGCAGTTACCAGATGATACCTAGCAGTGCATTTGGTTGATCTCTGTTCCTGAAAACAGCTTTTGAATCCTGCAGAAGTTCTTGTGAATTGTATTAAAGGCATGAGGGATACTGGTAGGAACTCAGCTTCCAAATGAAGGCAGATGTTCATCTAAAGAGAAAAGCTGTCTGGGGAGCAGGTTTCACTGTCTTCAACCACTGCAACTATGTCTTCTAAGGTGCTGGGCTTAGGGGTCTCTTCTGCCCAGATGCCTCTGGTGTGTCCCCATCAGCCTGACAACTGGAGTACAGCTGGTTGGACAAGTGTACTTATCTTTATTTGCTTTGGCATGTTGCATCACATAATATCTTCCATGCATTGCCTCCAGTCACAAGGCTGTGCAGCCTCATCCCACCTGCTTCCATCTTTTTCTGAGCTAATCGTGTTTGTTGATTTATTTGGTAAATCAGAGGAACTTGCGGTCAGTTTCCCTATAAGGCAGGTCCTTATTTTTTTTTTTTTAATAGAGATTAAGATTAGAAAGGGAAAAGAACAGCCGTAGAACCTGCCTCTGGAAATACCACTAAGATAATATAGCTTGCCTTTTTTTTTCTTTTAGAAGAAGCCGCTTTTGCATTTTTAGCTGACTGTTGATGGATTTTGAGTTTCCTGGTGGTGCATGATTGACAGGGTTCCCTAATTCTTTTTCTCCTCTGCAAGCAATTTCTTTTCTCCATGGTTTTTGTCTTTATTTTAATAATGTATATTCTGCTTTCTCTATCAGTGGTAGCCCAAAGCAGCTTACACACTTTGAAAAAATGGGCACATCACAAACATAATACAAACCCTTAATAACCATAGTTTTATGTGCTGTAACAGCATGCGACACCAGTGGTCACAAAACAAAATCAATTTAGATCTTAGCAGTATTTATGCAGTCTGACATTACCATATCAGGCTGCGCCAAATATTGACAGAGATCTCCATTGATTCTTTGTGTTTTTTAATGTCAGACTGGGTGGACTAGAGTCAGGTTTTGGTCTGACTCCTGTAAGAATCCAGTGTTGGCGCCTGGCTGACCTGTCTGGGAGGCGTATTCCGCAGAGCTGATGCCACTATGGCGAAGAACCAACTTCATGCATCGGCACACACAAAACAGCCTTAGATCTTGAACTGAGTGCATGTGGGGGGTATACCAAAAGGGGCAATGCTATAGAGAAGAGCAGAGTGCTTTTAATGCAAATTTTGGCCTGCTTTTTTTAGTTGTGTTATGATTTTTATCTCATTGTGGGGACTTTAGTAGGAACACCTGAAGTAAAATTTGTGCAGCTTGAATGGACATGAATGGAATTGCAGCATTTCACATTCTGCGTAGCCATTGGCCCAAATATTTAGATAATGCTTAGCCATCCCTCTTCTTGGGCTTCATTGCTGCTGCTGCCTGGGTGAGGGATGGGGGAAATTAGGCCAGTCCTCCACAAAAGGTTACAGGTGTTAAGAAGGCATTGAACATACCCAATTTCCTTTTCTCTTAGGTACCAACCCAAGCAGCCTAACCTGGCATACCAGATGGCTAGTACAACTGATGAACTGGACAACAATGAATCTGTGAGCACCAGTGACTCGCAGACTGGGTTTCTACCCAAGGAGGAGGACAAATGCTCCCTAAAAGAGATTTTCTTCCCCTCAAATACTGATCCATCCAAACGTTCTGGATTTGTAGTGAATGTCACCTCCTGCATCATAGGTAAGAGTTTCAGCCTGGCTGGCTGATTCCAGGGTGCTAGAGACTGTTCCGATGAGCTTTCCTGGTACATATAATAACAGAGATGTGTGCAGTATTCATTTTTGTAACCGGGTTATCTTAGGACAGCTAACAGTTATGTCCTGTCAGTGTATTCTTGGCATGAAGCAGATGTGGGCAACTTGTTGCCCCTCCAGAAGTTTCATCTAAGCTGATAGGAGTCTCAGTCCAGCAGTATTTCTAGTTGTATGCAGCTTGTCTGGTGCAGCAGCTAGTTGTCCCTGAAAGGCACACAGCCCAATCTGCTTTGAAGAACATAACAATACAAAAATGAATGAGCACCTGGTAGAAATTGACCAGTGCCTTGGTGGACTAAAAGGGCTGAGCCGAAGCTGGTCTAACTGTTAACCAATTCGTAAATGAAACGCACTAGAAATGGAGTACAGATGTCTCAGAGTACGTAGATTCTGAGCACAGAAGACTGTGCTAAAAGCATAGGCAAAACAGGGAGCATGGTGACAGAAATCCTGCGGTAACTCTGTGTCTGCCTTTATGACTAGAGTATATTGATCTTCCTCATCCCTTTTGTTCCCACGTCTCCATCCTCTTTTGCTTGATGCAGAATGTGCCTGCCTGCTTAACCAGCCTTTTCTCCATTTCGTTCCCCAAAGACCTTTTTGGAGGTCTTTTTTAAAGTTGCACAATAGTCTCTGTATGTGGGGTATAAGATCTTTGCCCATTAATAGATTTTCATGCATAGAAGGCCTACAGCTCAATATACAGGACTCCTTCCCTCCTACCCCATGGGTCAGCTTCAAAGAGTCTTGGATGCATTAACAGTGGATAAGTTAACCCAGCAAATGACCACTTAGCAGCAAGACAGGAACCTACTGGTTTTATACAACACTGGACTAGATGGACCTTGGATAGGTGTAGCACAACTAACTTCTTACATTCTCACAGAAGACTGTAGCCAGTACTTTGCTGGAAACTGAGCCTGTGATATGTGACAAGCCAAAAAAAGTACAAAACTCTTATGTGTTTGAACTGCCTCGGAATATTTTGCATTCTGTGTTTATGCAAATTCAGCCCTAGTAGGTTGGATCCAGGCATAGTCATGCCCAGAGTAGACCACCCTTCTCCATGTTGGCTGGGGATGATGGGGATTGTACTCTCAACACACCTGGAGGGTGCCAAATTGGGGAAGTCTGGACTGATGAAAATAATACAACCCCACCTTTTTGTACAGTGTTCAACACTCAAAACATTCCACATTTTTTAATATTAGCAGTCATTCAAAAAACAGAACAAGATCCTGTGAACAAGATGGAGCTTCTGTTTGCATGACAGGATTTCTGGATCCTGTGATGTGCTCCAGAGGAACTATTCTTCCAGCAGTTCCTCTCCACTGTCAGAAGGCCACAATTGGGTACTGTTCCAATGTTTTTTTTCCCTCCCATCACAGAAGAGATTCTGAGGCTTGGTTATCTTGGCTCAGCCCAAGTGGGCCCAGAGGACTTTTTTGCAACAGTGGCCAGCCATGTGCTTTTGGTAAGCTCACATCAGGTTATGAAGGCAACAGTACCCTTCCCTCTGCTGTTTGCTTCTTCAGACAGCTGACTTAGGAATGCTGCTTCTGAAGGAGATTCCTTAGGTACCTGATGAATTCATGGCTGAGACTGCAGTTGAACCAAAGGTTGGTGATAAGTTAAACCAGCTCATCTTTCCTTGCACTTTGGACTATTGCTTCTAAAACCAGCATGGAGATCAAATGAGAATTGAGAAGAAAACCATCATGTGCGGAATGTTTGCCCATTCCGTGTGGTTAGTTGTTGATGGCAGGGGCATGGGAACTCTAATAGAGGGCTTTCTGCTCAGCAGTTTCCAGGCGTCAGTGACCAAACAGCTGCTTGCTGTTACCAATGCACAAAGAAGCCTTAAAATGTGTGGGATCCAGAGTTACACAGCTGCATCTGCCACGGACATCTGCTGACTTGGCTTTAAAATGGCAGCTGTTTGCCTTGTGGATCTATATTCCTCCCACATGGTATCAGTGCAACAAACATTTTATGTATGTTGTTCTCAGGTGTTCTTATCGTCGCCTTCTGTGGCCTGACCGTCCTTGGCAAAGACGGTCGGATAAATGGGTCCCCGTTGGTTATCACCCTGCTTGTTGTGGTCAGCGTGCTGTGCTTCATTTGCACCGTGATTATTTGGAGACAACCCGAAAGCAACACCAAGCTCTCGTTTAAGGCAAGTAGTCCACTGGGGCATAGTTTGGGGGTGGGTTCAGCCTGCGGGGAGGAAGCAGTTTGTAGCTTTGCAGCCTCTACACGCAAGAGAGATTAGTGAAGAGTTAGCCTGCTTTTTTTGCCAGAAAGGCAGGATTTAGTTGGTAGGGAGAGGGAGCGAGGGATATGGAACAAATTGTCCCACACAGGCTGGCAAAATGCACCTCAGGTCTAGCCTTCAGTAATCCTGATACTACTAATTCTTTGCCTCTTATCTGGCAATCTCTCTATCTCTACGTAATACGAGTCAGTGAGAGCGTATGCGAGGCTGACTTTCCCTTTTGGCACTCCCAACAAAAGTCTCCAAAAACACACCAACACATCATGTTGTGATGCCACTCCCAGAAAGGAATTTTTATTATTTCCTCTAATGGAGCAGTTGAAAAAAAGCCACATCAAATCTACGTTAGCCGTTTAACACTTAAGGGAATCTCATATCCTGTGCTTTTAAAAATAATTATAAAGATGCAAAGAATAACCAGAAAATCCAAACCCTGCATCTGTTATTAAAATTCACTTTTCTGTTGTGGTTTTTTAAATGCACACAGCAGCATACAATAAAATTATAAAATGATGAAATGAAAATAATAACTTTGTCTGCGGTTCTGCACTCATTTATCTGGATCTACTTCTGTGCAAATATGCATAGAATTCCACTATAAGTATCCTCTAAACAAAAGCTTCTCATGAACTGCAGCACAAAGCATGGCTAGAATAATCGTAGTGCATAGTACAAATGTCCTGTGCAAAGCCTGTTCAGCTAGGGAAAGAATTTTGCAACTTTGGAACGGCAGCTGAGAAGCCCTTGTTTGGGGCACCGGAGAAACAATCTTTCCATGAGGAAGGCATAGTCAGATCTGACCAGGTTGGCAAACCCCTCTACTATTAAATCATTGAACTTCATATATGTCTCACTTTTCCTTCCCTTATATGGCTCTACAACTGTTTTTTGCAGCGGTCTTGTAAGGCAGTTTAATGTGAGAAATGCTGACTGTGGCTCAAAATGAACTTTATGACTGGGTGGGGATTGGAACCAGGGTTTTCCCAGTCTTAATAAAACATTCTAATCAATGTTTAATTTTGCATTGAAAAACCCATTTGAAGAGTTAGGAAGCATTGACTATGTATCTGTTATGTCCTGGACTGAAAGGGGCATTGTAAGTTTGCCAGCCCTTTCTTATGTCCTTCCCAAAGCCATATCTTCCGTCCCTGCCAACAAAAGGCAGTGTGTCATCACAGAAGTCCTTCCTTTCATCCAGTGCCAAACTCTCTCTGCAGCTCTCTCTTATGCCCACACGGAGAGTACATGCAACAGAACTTAAATGAAAATATGCATAAGGGGCAGTGTGTCAGATGGTTAGACTGGAACTCCGGAGATCTGGTTTCCAGCTCACTGTGTGCCTTTGGGCTGATCACTGTCTCCTAGCCTAACCTCCCTTGCAGGTTTGCTGTAAAGACAAAATGGAGAGGAGTAAGACCATGTAAGCTGCCTTGGGTTTCTAGGAAGAGGGAAAAAGGTGGGATATAAAACTAACAAAATATCTGAGCTAATGGTCAATACTGTAACAAAGCAGTTGCATATACTTTACTTGGCCTGCAGCTGTACTGTTTAAATAGCAGGCTCCCATGCTGAAATTCAGGTTCTGCTTATATGGACATCAGGAAGGGTTCACCAGCTAAATTGCTCTGTGTTGTGTCTGCTGTTGTTGGGGACATAGCTATAAGGATGATGAAAAGAATAACAACTTCGTACAAGATACAAGGAGAAAAAGCACATGGTCAGCCTTCATGTCCATTCACAAATGGATTTCATATTTCTGAATTTGGAGTGGCTTGTTGGCACTTGTGGGCTATTTTTAGAAAGGTTAGAGAGACAGGACAGTGTATGCAAAGACATGTGGAGGTCAGAAAGTTACAATTGGATGCTTGGAAGCTTACCAGCTACTACCAGAAAATGTCTCTCTCTTCTATTTTTTCTTGTGAAGGAGGCTTTTCATAGCAACAGAGCAAAGCCAGAAATGCCTCTCTCAGCTTTCAGGCACTCAGCAGGCAGCAGCATGGGAAAGCCCCAAGGGAGGAAATCCTGACAAAGTCCTGCAGGTGGCTTTCCAAAATGACAGCAAGGACAGAATGGTGGGTGGTTGGGGAGGGTGGGTAGGAAAAGGAAGCGTGTGCACAGACCCTGTAGCCTAAGCACAGGGGAATTTCCACAAAATTCTCAACATCCCGAAAAAACGACAGCAAAGCAACTCCTCTTTTGCAGAGAAATGAAGAGGTTGTGAAGAGGCTGGTGGGGTTTTGGTTCCACACTAGTCATCACAGGCAGAACTGCTCTCCTTTGATGTGTGTGTGTTCACATGAGGATGCAGCTGGTGGGAATGAGTTCTATGCCTGCTGCTCCTAAGCTTGATTCACAGGAACAACTTATTTTTGTGCATGTTTTCAGGTCCCTTTTCTTCCCATCCTTCCAATCCTGAGCATCTTTGTGAATGTTTATCTCATGATGCAGCTGGATGGTGGCACCTGGATACGGTTTGCAATCTGGATGTTTATAGGTGAGTTGGCAACTGGGTTTTTGACCTTGCAAAACGATGCATTGGTGGTGAGGCAAAATAGAGCTCTGGAAATACTGAGGCACCCATTCCTGCCTTTATGTATGGCCCTCGATTGTGGTGCTGCTAGACGCTCCTGTTCATCCTCCTGCTGGTAAGGCAGGTCCTCCTTCTTGAACCATTCGTAGCAATCCTCCCTAGCCTCAGCCCTCCACACTCCTCATAATTCCCAGTCAGCACTGCTTTTGGCCACTGGGTCCAGGAGTATTCCAAAAGTTCCCCTCAGTCACAGACACGTTCATCCTTGCCAAATGATGGTCATTCCCTGCTAGGCTCACCTCCGTATCATTTGACTTCTTAGAGTTTTCATGTGAGCTGTGCATTCCCTGCAGCTACTGGTTCTTATGTTTGAGGTACCCGAGTATGGTCTGCATGCTGTCACTTACCTCATGCTCCCTCCATTTTTCCCCATTTCATCAGGTTTAGTCATTTATTTTGCCTACGGGATGTGGCACAGCGTGGAGGCATCTTACTCAGCACCAACAGACGCAGAAAGAAGTATGGACAACAACGTGGATAGCTGCAAATGATTGATAGCCTTGTTTACACTGAAGGACAGCTGAGCTTTCCACTGCAGAGAAGGATGCTTTTCTCTCTGGGACCCTGAAGTATTTTATTTTGTGGAACATTAAGAGGACCCCCATGTCTCGCCACTGCCCCTTGCAGCTTGCTTTTACCTCTGTGGTGCAGCCATTAAGAATCACAAGGAGCAAGGCCGGCTTCTGGAGCATCCTCAACTATATCATTCCTCACTGCTGGAAGCCCTTTCCCCCCCAGCCGTCTTATCATAAGTATATGGAAAGAAAATGGCTTCTCTGCTTCCAATGCTGCTATAAGACCAGATTTTTCAGAGGGTCTGCAAATTAACTCATTAGGTACTGTACTTGGATTTAAATGGAACGAACTCAGCTTTGTCCATCTCCAAGTCACCCATGTGGCATGACCAAGAATAATGCCTTGCCTACAATACAAACAAGTCTTCTTGGGTGGCATTAAAAAGTGCTAGGACCAATTTGTTTTAAGAAAAGAACTGGTCAGCATTGTTGATTTGTACTATTTAAAGTTTCTGTGCATCAGAATTTCTGTGCTTTGAAATGAAACATTGCAGTGGTCTTCTTTAGGGTGCTTTAGCTTGCTGGCTGAATTCTTGCTCTTCTTTAAGAAAACAGCAGATCCTGCTGCTCATGAGAGAAGCTTTTGTATAACACTGTGTAGAAAACATGATTCCTTGTTCAACTCCTAGTAGGTCAGCTCTGCAAAGTTGAGAAAAGCTCTTTTTGACTGCATGGTTCGAAGTGTTGGTTACATCTGAGCTGGGGTACTACTGGTCACAGTTAGTGCTTTACAATCCTTGTATTGCTCATTTTCACCGTAACCTTATGAGATAACTCACTGATTTTCCTTGAAACAGTTGTAGTCAAACATCCAATGAATTCTTTGTATGGATGTTAACCTAAATCTGCTGCATCCACCTCCCAGTACCAGTTATGTTTTAAAAGTAATTTATTTAAAGTTCATAATTATCAGGGTAAGAAGCTGCATCAGGCTTAGCTTTTTTTAGTCCATTCCTTTATCTATCTACCTGGGAGTAAGTTTCATTTCATTGATTTCACAGAACTCACTTCTGAGTAAACATGCATAGAATTTGACCATTCACGTTCAGCTAGAATTGGGTGAAGTGCATGATAAGTGAACTACATTTGTTGCAGCTTGTTACATATCCTGCAGTGGCTCACTTTGTGAAGTTAAGAGCAGGAGGTGTGCAAATACTAGAAGCAAAAAGAGTGAGAACTTGCTATGCACAGTAGACAAGTTCCTGCAAATGCATTGATATAGCAGTTTTCCATCGTTTAGTAAAGTGCTATTCTTACCTGGTAAACACTTGAGAGTCCAGCTTAGCTGTGCTGAACTCCAAATAGGATGTTGCGCTCTTGGTTCACACACATATTTGAGTGAAAGCAATACATCCTAATAAACAGCGGAGGCTGGCATATCTACTGGTGAATTCCAAAGCCTTCTCTTAATTTCCTGTGGGGTGTGGGGCAGGAATCATAGATTTTATATGTATCTAAAGTGGACAGAGGTTCACTTCTTTGTAAAAATCTGAGGTAACAAAGGAAAACACTAATCCATAGAGATATTTGCTGTAAAAACAAAACTTCTGATAAATATTGTAACTTTTAATTCCTATTATTATTTTTCTCTTCCATTGCCAGTTTTCTTGCAAAACAGGTTTTATTATTATTATTATTATTATTATTATTGATGTTGTTGTTGTTACTATTGTTCAGTATTTATGTCCAGCTGCTTTATATATTGCATTTGAGACAAATTATGTGGAAAACAGTGGCACTTAAAGGGAAATCTTTATTTTGTAAGCAGGTTATTTTTATGTGAGAGCAATGTTTTTGTGTGGCAACCTCAACTGGTGTTGGGGAAGGGCTGCCTGCTCAATGACAGACCACCTGTTTTGGGTGTAGAAGCTCATCCCAGCTTGTGTCTCTGGCCAGGTAGGCCTGGCAAAGGCTTTTGCCTGAGAGCCAGGAGAGTCCCTGGCAGTGTAAGCACTGCAAGTAATGGCTGTGACTCAGTACAAGGCAGCTTCCCATGTTCCCATCCTTATCTGGCACTATCCTAAAGCATTGCTTTTGCAGCAGTCATCTCATAACAGCAATTGGAGAGCAACCGGAAAAAGGCATTAAAAGAACAGTTTTTTTGTTCTTTAAAGAATGAGTTAGGCTTTGGTTTATTGACCAGCTTCCTCTTGTGCCACAGCAAACCCTTCATTGAAGGAACACAGAGATCAAGTCAGGGTGTCATACCTGACAGGAAGGGATAGGTCTGGCTTGCAGTGCGTTGGCTGCATTTGTGGTTTGATCAGTTCTTTCCTGTGCCATTTTATGAGACCTTCTTATACCAAACATCCATTTCATCTCAGTAGGACCAATGTGGTCTCATCGGACAGACTCCATTGATGACTTTGGAGTTAGAGCCAATGTCTCCCCTATTCTGGGGCCATACGGGCTCTGAAGGTTGTTTCACACATGAACAAATTCCTCTACTGAAATGACACCCATTTAGAAATGTGTCATTCCTTTGTGTAGAATTGCAGGCGACCCATCCTCTTGCTCTCTGAACTTTGAATTTAAAGTTCGTGGAATGTGTGCTAATATAAAACTGTCACAGAAACAGCTCAAACTGTCACTTTCACAAAATGCTGTGTGAACGAAGCAGTTTGAAGACTGGGTTACTATGGGCTACAGCTCAGTTAGCTGGACTTGCTGCCTGTTATATTTCCAAGTCAAATTAAGGAACTGGTCAATATTTCGAGACACTGAGACTTTGTGGGCCAAGTTTGCCTTTGGAAGTGTCTTCACCCTCATGAATGCCCAGTCTCATTAAGCAGGCCAGGCATTGCTTCACATTCCACTTGCGCAAGCAGTGGAACCGAAAATTGGCCGAGTAGGTCCCTAACTCTGTCACTTTGTTCACAAAAGAGAACAGCTCAGGGTAACACACTCATGCTAATTCTGTTCTAGCAAGCATTTAAGACTGAACTCTCCAGATCCTGTGTGGTCATAGTGGTAAAATAAGAAACTATTGCAAATTTCACAACCTTTTTCATGTATTTTTTCAACTAGGAGGGAAAACCAGTGTACAAATCTTATAAATAGAGCAGAATGTTTAGGTTCTGTGTCCTTGCTGTTTGCAAACTTACAATTGGCGTTCTCTAAGAAACGTCTGTTTCTTTTCAAATGTGGCATTTATGCAGTGTTCTCCTTGGAAATGCCTCTTGGTAAGCATGTTGTCATGTGCAAAGGAGCCCTGTTTGCATCCTTTCTACTGTGGAAGGTCGCATTCTATTAAAAATAGTCTAAGATAGCATCTCTCTGGCCTCATCTTCAGCTGACCTCATCACAGGTGCAGGGCCTCCTTCTCAACCAGCAGTCTCCAACCTGGTGCCCTCCTGAGATAGCTCCAATCATCTCCACCTAGCATGGCCACTGTCCATTAAATTTTAGTCCAACATATTTGGAGGGCATCAAGCTGGGAAAGATTTTTTAAGCAGTGCAGATACTCGAGTCAGATATGCAGGAGCACATCGATTCCGGTGTTCAGGGAAGGTGATCTGACTACCCTCTGCAATCATAGGTGTCCTGCAAAGCTAAGAGGAGAGGTAGCACCTGGGCAGGGCCTCAGGGAGAATAACCTCACCAAGCCCTACTTTTGGAGAGAGCGAGAGATTTTACTGGTACCAGCAGCTACTGCCTCTCTGCTGCAGTGACCTGTACTGGCGGGTGGCAATCTCCTTGCACTGGTGAAACCTCTGTTCCCCCTTCCTTAGCAGTGAAACCCTGGAACAAAGATCAGGTAGCCTCTGCCTCTCTATGTACAAACAGGTGTCCTTTGAGGTTATGGGTGAAACCTCAAAGGTGCTGCTGCAGGCTTGCTGTCGTGAGGAACTGACCAACATTTATTGGAGCTTGTATTTGTAAATAGCTGGGTGACTTATTATGCTGTTTTAACAAGATTGTTTTGTATAGCTGCTGGGGGACTGCAGTATAGAAGGCTGTCTTCTGAAGTGTGGCTTCCTTTGTAATGCTTGTGGTAAAAACAAAAGAGGTCTCCTCCACCAGAATTGGAGGGTTTTGTAGAAGCTGTGACTTCTTCCAGGAACTGCAGTCCTTTTCATTCTTATGAGGGTTTCCCCCCTTGCTTAGGTACATGTCATCAAAGTGTGCACATCCAGTAGGGAGAGTGTATGGGGGGTGTGCACACACAAACCTCATGATCACTGTGTGCTGCATTTGTGGTTCTTTATCTAAGAAGGGGAAATGTGCACCGCAAAGCACGCGAGGGGGACTAACTTGTTTTTGTTCAAAACCTCATCCCAGTTTTGCATCTTTAGTAATTAAGGTTCCTGTGTAACTTGACACATGACCCCTTCAGCCTGTGGCAGTTAGCGAATCCATAATTATGGCTAGGATGGGTCTGGAAGCCAAAGCTTATAGGACGATTTTCATAAATGTGTAATAAATGGTTGCCCAGAAGTTTATGAGCAGGCAGCTACTAACCAGTTAGGCAATTGATGCTAACTCAGAATTTGATTATCACTTCAGTAAGAATAGATTCCGTTTCAAAACCTTTCTGTATCACAGGATGTGTTACTGTACCGTCAGAGTGGAGGAAACCATGTCTGAATGTAGCTCTGTTAAACAGCAGTCATGTTTGCAGTTTTAATAGGAGGCAATGGTGGTGGGAGGAGCAGTGGAATTCTACCTTAATTTCACTGCCAAACAGTGGATCATCATTATCGACAATTTCAGTTTTCTAACTTGTAGATTTTGAAAGTGTTGGTGCTCCCCATGTCCATCCCTGTGGGCACATACTCAGCAGGAGGGGTCCAAAATTGCTGGTGGTTGTGCTGATCTATATCAACAAACTAATTTTTGCAGTTCTGAAAGACTCTGAACTGCCCATTCAAGCCCAAGCCACCCCAAAACACATTGCATTGGAACAGGGAAATTCTGTTGCTGGGAAGTATTCCTAGGAAGGCCATACAAAAGGAGATCCCATATTGTTCTTTCTGTATTAACCCATGCTCAAAGGACTTCTGTACAGCTGCTCTCTCTGCATTAAAACATCTTTCAGAGTTTTTTCCCATGTGACTCTGACTTCTGTAGAGCTAAATATGGATGTCATGCAGGGTTTCCCTGGAAGGAAGGTAATGTGATATTCTATTATTTCATCTCCCTTGAAATTGAAGATAATGAGACAAGGTTATTTAAGTTGATACAACAGCTGCTGCTTGAACAATTAAGGGCACAGTCCTATATATGCTAAGACAGCCAAAAGGACTAAAATTCCCAACATGCTGGGTATTATAGGTCTTTTTGTTGTCTCAACATGTGTAGGATTATTGTTTAAGGCTGCAATCCTAAATACACTTTCTAGAGGGTAACCTCTGTTGAAGACAGTGGGCTATGCTTAAGAGTAAACATTTGTAGGTTTGCACTGTAAATTTAAATAAATTTGCACACTACCAAAACTTGAACACGGGTGCCTTTTTGAGACAGTTCAATAAAAACCTTTTTACTTACTAAATTGAAAATTGTTCTCCCACATCTCTTATTGCCTGCCATATTAGCTCCAAAATAGCCTAAAATGAACTCTGTCAAACTCCATCACTTGAAATGCACACGCATTGATTAGAAGGAGCTTTTATGTGGCCCTAACTGTAATGAATTTTTCCTGACAGGGATGGGAAATCCCAGTATCGATTTATCTGGAGGTAAATCCTATTGAATATAATAGGACTTGCTTTTGAGTATCTAGAAACAGGATTGTTCTGTACATAATTCTGATTTTTATCAGGCTGCGGTTTGTTAACATGTGTTCAGTGGGGCAAATCTGGAATCCTGTCCCCCTTTCATGTACCTAAGCGCTGATTTAACATCTTGAGTGTGTGGCAGTGCGAGGCAGAGCAACATCGTGCCCCATCTCTGTTAGAATGCATTTGTTCATGAGTCGAGTGTGAGTATGTGATGTAGACAGATACTGGCACTTCCCCCCCTTCATTGAGATTTCAGCACCATCCTTTAGGTGTCTGTAAAAATCTCTGATTTTTTCCATTGTAAAAAGGCCAGGGACTTATTACATAGAGTCAACATAATAACCATCCTGTGATACTCCCTTTACTGTCTTGTTACTTAGGACTTGGTGCTGTTAGAGCGGAGCCAGAGCGTTATGGGAAGAGTGTCTGCTTTTGCTTTATATCCAAAGCCAGATTGTCTCAGGGTTTATTTCCTCCGTGATGTTAAACAGCAAAGGGTCTTGTAGTTCCTTGATGACTAACAGTTGGCTGTTGGAATAAGCTTTCTTGGATGTGGTCTGCTTCCTGTCCCAAGAAAAAAAAATGCTTTGCTAAGATAATGAAGAGCGTAGGCAGTGAAATTGAAAACGGCACTGTCTTTCCCCCCAATTATGGAAGGGTCATAATGTGTGTGTTTGATGAAATGGAGAATTTCCTGTTATTACGTTGTGCCTTTTGATATATGTTTGTCTGGTCTCAGGAGCACAAAGAATGCGTTTCCCACCATTTGGGATTGTATGTTACAATTCTATAGGAATGTGTGAGGTTTCTTCAGGAATACATCTCTAACTAACCAAGAAGCCATGAAAGAACTTGTGCATATTTTTATTGAGTAAAATGTATATACTTCGTTGACTGTTCTATTTTTCTAATGATTTCTTCAGAATTTCTTAATGTTATAGAATTATTCTCCTTCTCCTGCTGACAGCAGTTCTCATTTCAGTGGAATTTCTTATTCTTTGGATCCTCCTTGCTTTAAATAAAAGCCTTGTTTTCACTTTTTTAATGTGAAATTTACCTGGAACCTCTACTTCATAAAGATATTTCTGTCAAATGACACTGTAAATATGTGCCCTTCATAAACAGTATGTTTTTCTTGACTTCAAAAAGATCAATGTGTAAATATGTGATATGACATTAAAATGATTCTCTGAAATTTAAATTATGCTAGTTTCACCATTCTTTCTTCATTTTAATTCGTTTCACCATAGCTTACTGATGGACATAATTGTGCTTTGTATGGAAGAATCCAGCTTCTGAGAACGTTTGCTTTTAATGCAGTACTGTCTCTCATTTGCACAATCTAAGCAGCTGCATGACTCAAGTTGCTGTGGTGCACAGCTTCTTGTGCTCTTAATGGGATTTTTAAATTGTAAATTAATTCATCAAGGCTGCAGTCCTATGGCCTCCTCACAGCTGGTGTGGAAAGAACCATGCTGAGCCCCACAGGGAGAGGGGAAAGGGGTGTGGTGGGGATGTCTACCTGTGTCTTTTCTATCAGTCCTCAAGCATCCTTCCTTCCTCCTTCCTGAAGTTTATCTAGATGGCTGAAAACAGCCAACCAGATGAAAAGCAGGGTGTGAAGTGCAGCAGCAGCAGAGAGCACAGCACTGTGCTTTACAAGTATTGCACAGCTGGCGTGAGCCTCTGAGGTCAAAGACCAATGTGCACCTGCCATGGGGGCTATTGCCTTGCAGCTAATTCATGGTATCATTCTATTTCTCCCCCATCTAATAGCACATGCTCTGTGTGGACAGTCAAATGGGAGTTCTAGGATGGAAACTGATGCTATTATCAGCATGGTTAGAAAAGGCCAGCCCTGTCTTCAGTTTCTCAACTCTTGCCTAGTGCTTGGGCACCCAGGACCACAGGAACTGGCGGGAAGAGGTGGTTTTTGCAGTGTGCCAAAGTGCAGTGAATCAGGCAGTTGGTATGTAGTGCTCTCGCCCTGCAGCACTATTCTTCTAGGAGCCAAATGAATACCAGGGGCTTTCAGGAGTCCTTTCCTTCCTGGATGGGGAAGTTAGGTGCACAAATGTGCACCTACATGTACAATTTCTCTGCACAGTCAGTTTTCATTATGCCAAACTAGAATGGGAGCTCAATGGTGTGATTCCAACTCGTGTATGAGGGTTGCACATCTGCACACCTGGATTGCAACCACTGTCTTTAAATGGATGATACTGAATAAAATTCAACATTTTAAAGAAATTTAAAGAAAGTGATTTAGTATTCATAAGTGTTCAGTTTTAAGTTTATTTGTGAAAATCCAATCTCTCTCTCTCTCTCTCTCGTTTGCATGCACATGCGCACGTGCACACACCCACACCCACACACACCCATGTTAGAATCAAACCTGTACATTTATAAAAAGAATAATGATACCAGCTAGAGACTAATGCTGGAGCATGTATTTATTATCATGAATATATATTACACACAACTGTACACTGTAACTGAAATAATACAAACTTTTTTCTGTAATTTAAATAGCCATGTATTAAGTCAGGACACAAACTGCTACTGCATTGGGTTGGGGTTTGGGTTGGGGGGACTTATATAAGGATCCAACATGTGTCCACAGGACACAAATGCAATCAGTGCAGAGACATAAAATACCTGATTTGGGTTATTCATATTTAATCCAAAAGAGATCTTTGCCATCAAATACCTGCTGATTCATTAGTGAGAAATGTGACTTATGCAAACATCTCTTCAGAGTTCTGCATAATGCTTCAAACGTTATCAAAGCAAGCACGATTTTTTCTGTTAGAGAATGGATTTGCAGGTCCCCTGGGATTCTTACAGGAGCAGAAACCTGCTGATGGATGTCTCAGGAAGACATTTTGAAGACTTCTGGGAAAGACAAAATACTGGGTGACTCCTGGAGGTCTTAGAGTGGAAGTCCAATCTGTACATTATTTCATGTAAGTTTCTCAGCCTGTCTGAAACCAGAGATGCATGGTGCATCTTCCGTGCAAACTTCCACACTGGGATCCACTACGAAGTGAATAAGCATTCTTCATGTCTGGTTTTGACCAAGACATGAAAGCATGGTGAGATGAACTGCAGGTGACGCATGTGTCCAACTCTATGTCACATCCCAAGCCATCCTCATTTTATTGTAAGGGTTTTTCTCGATCAACATCTCTTTTGGACCAGGAGTGCAACTCTGGGCAGTTTTTAAACTGAATGTCTTATTACTCTAACGTGTGAGAATGCAGCAGGGGTGCCCATGAGCATGGACCTGACCCATTTGACTCTTCAATTAATTGGTGTTACCCTTCATTTACTTTTCAAGGTAAGTGCTGATTTTGTTGTTCGGAAATGCCAGAGAAGTAGAGAAAGGAATACGCACCCCTTTCCCATAGGGAGGGAGTTGTGGGTTGCATGTTCACCTAGAGCATGTACACCTATTACGTTGAACAATTTATAGGAAATGTGAAGAGGAACAGCATAAGTTGCTCTCAGTTTCTTTCCAGTTTTTTTGTGTAACATCTGAAGCTCTTGGATGTATTTAAGCAATTCATGGAAGGAATGAAAAGCCGGGGTTTTCCTGGGCTGGAAAGTTCTGGACTTGGCAGCTTCTGAAATTCTCCCTTCCCTTTTCTTAATCCTATCCCCGAATCCTTATGATTCTTCCTCTAAAACCCAACACACAAAGCAGTGGATCTTACTGAATGGATTCCTATAGAAAGTATTTTTCTCTTACCTATCACTGCAATTTCAACAGAGGATAAGAGGCCAAAAGAATGTCTTGCAGCCTCAATTGCTACTTAAGTGAAAATGTTGGGGCAGAATAATACACCTTCCCTGAGCTGGCTTTCTTCCTGCTCTTTGTGCCCAGGGTGCAGGAAATCTTAAGTTATTATAGTCAAAACAGGATGCACACCTGAAATTTGGATATTCAGTATCCAATCCAGCCTACCAGAAGAGAGGGCTTGAATAGCTGCATTTAAAGGAATAGTTTGCTTGTGGGTTACTAGTACGGTGAGATTTTAATAACGTGGTTCAAGCTGCATGAAATTGCTCAAAAGATTTTCAGATTGCTTTCCCCTTGTCTCTTTAAGCCAGATCTGCCCAGTTGATTGTTTTGTATTATCACATCGTAAAATTAGTGTGAATGTCATTTCCCAGAATTCCAGTCATACAATCCTCTTTGGAGAATAAACTTTATGGCTTCCTATACAAAAGTATTTTAAATAAACCAAACCTATTTTGGAACAAAAATGTCCCAGTCTAGGAAGAAACTATGCCAGCTGTCAAAGTGAGTAGCTACATATTTCTTACTCCATCAGGGTGATGGTGTTCAGTACTGGTACTTATGATGGTGTTCAGTACTGGTACCTTGGAAGTGGGCTTCACCTGACCCTAGAATTTAGATAGGATGGCCCCTGAAGAAGACATTCCATTTATTACTTCACTGGCATCCTTGAGAATGTATTCTCTATTTTGCATTGTCTCTTTCTGGTGCCTCCTCTTCCTCCAGTTTCCATCTACAAGTGACAGGATGCCGCAGGAAGATGGCAATGGCTACTTCACAATGGATGGACACATATTACAGTGGCCTTGGCACCTGCAAAGTCTTTTCCTACTGCCTGTTTCTGCAAACAGAAAAGGGAAGGCATTCTAGCTCTGCACAAAATCTCATGTTTGCTTACAACACTAGAACTCTTGGTTGGTTGTGCTCTCCCCAAATGTTGTGGGTTCCGTCACTATTTTGCTGTGATTAAAGGAAAACTGATTAGATGGACAAGATCCCAAGTGCTACTTTAGGTGAACCAAAGGGCTCTGGAATGTTAATTTAGGTAGTTGCTTCCCCCACCCACTTGAACTGCAGAACTTCACAACAGGATGGGCTTTAAAAAGTTAAAGGAAGAGCTTTAAAAGCCACTTGGTTTCAGAAGTGGCTTGTCATGGGATGTGCTGCTGAGAAATACAGGACCAAACATTAGACGTAATTGTTTGGGGGAATATTGGCTGAGTCAGTCTAACTGGCTCACAAAGGGATTTTCTCCAGTATAAATTACCTGGGCTGAATAAGTGGCCAGTTTCCATTCTGTGCTGTTCAGAACAATGGGAAGTTTTATAAAAGGGAAAGTGACTCTAGGCTGTCTTTTTGGGAGCAAGGAAGAACAACTGGTGCTAAATTAAGGGCATGGGGTCTCCATTGTCTGCTCACACCACAGTAGATCAGCCTATCCTAACCTGATGGCCTCTAAAGGTGTCAGACTGGCACTCCCATAACTCTCCACCAAACTTGGTAGGACTAATGGGAATCACAGTCCCCCCCATCTGGAAGCCACCACAATGGGGAAAGCTGCAGTCGGGGACAGAGATCTGCATGCCATTTCCTGCTCCCAAAGCCCCATTCTCAGCTTGGACGCATTCATTGCATAGAGGAACAGATGAGGGATGTACATTAACACAGAAGCTGATGGTCGCCCAGTCCCACCCACTCACCACTCGGTTCCGCTTGCCTGTGATTGGCGAGTGATACAGGGCTTGCAGAGCAGTGATGTGGTTGTATCAAACTTGTGGGAATATTGCTGACATGAGCCAAGCTTGTACGAGGTCGTAACACAACAATGAACAATGCTTATTGCAGTGTCGTCTGTGCCTTTTGCGATTGCACTGTGGAAAGTGGCTAAAAGTATGCCAGTGAGTGTCACAGCTACCCTACTCTTGGGCCGTACTCACCCTTATGCAAAATCTAGTGCCACAGTCTGTGAGGATTATGAACGTGGCATGAGCTAATCTAACAGGATGTACTCAGTAGCACAGTTTCATGCAAGGCAGCTACAAAAATAAATTTCCCTAAAAAACAACCTCCCCCCCAAACTTTGTTACTTTGTACATCATAGATTTTGGAGCACAAACCTGCGGTGATCAAGCAATGCTGGCTCTCTCTTCAGTCTCAGTGGGAGTCTTAGGGCTTGCATCACAGCCAAACCTCATGCACAAATCCTAAGACTCCCTGGGCTAAGTGCTTGTGTGGACTCCAGATATGTGTTTGCACAGCTTACTGAGGCCTACCCCGAGTCCCACTCTGCTCCCCAGCGTGCTTATGGCACTTTGGAAACCTGTGATTTTACTTCCCAGATGGCTCAAGCCCAGCCCAGTGACTGAGAACCAAATTATCCAGTGGACATCTAAAAGCAGTTTTCTTTTTCTTAGAACCACCTTCCCCAACCTGATGCACTCCAAATGCTCCCCCAATGGCCATGCTGGCCAGGGCTAATGGCCGTTGTGGTCCAAAACATCTGAACGTCCCTGGGATGGGGAAAGCTCATTTAGATGATTCATGCTCCACAACTGCCCAATGCTACATTCAATGCTTTCACAGTCTAACCCTATTCTATCTCACACACATGCTGGATCCCACCATCTATCACACTGAAGACCATAAGGGATATTTCCTCTATCCCTTTTGTCTGTCTAGTTCATGTTGAAGAATCTCTCGAGGTCTAACACTATACTGACTGCTATGCTACTGTCTAGGGAACCAGACTACATCCTAGCAGCCCTGACCTAGGTGCTGCTGTTACTAAATAGAAACTGGATAGCAGTACTGAGTTCATTGCAAAGAAGGCAGTGCTATGTCCATTGGTACCAAATGGGATCAAAAACGATGCATTAGTGCTGACTAAATGGAAGGATGTAACATCGATGGCTATTCTATGAGCATAGACAGCCCAACTTAATTTTGCTTCTTGATCTGAGAGCAGCAGCCCGGGCAGTGTTGCACAAGGGCCCAGCCAGGTGTGCAACCTCAACCCTTTTGTCAACGCCGCAGTGCCTTCAGAGCACGCCTTTCAGACGGCAACAGTGGCACTGGTGCCTCTAGAAATACTGCTTCCTTGGGTTGGTTGTACAGTTGGGTTATCCCTGCCTTTCACAAAGAATCCTGTTATCGATAGACCTAGGCTTTGTTATATGTGTAGGAAGACAGAATATGGGTGAAGAACATCCGAGATACCTTATATTTTGAGGCCAATAAAGGAATATGGCAAGTAGAGTTTCACCCTTTTAGCCTGTGTTTCATGATCACTGCATTAAAAATTGTCATGTGGTGTGGGGACTTTGTCTTATAAGTTTACATCTACATACATATTGCCTTGCTATTAATCCCGAGAACGTCAAACATGTGACTTAAACAAAACTACAGGTGGACTTAAAAGGAGTCATCTTGAAAACTAAAACATGAGGCGATCACCTTTCTATGCCTCCTTGACTAGTTTCTCCTTACAAGGGTAATAAGGGTTCTATTTTTGAATTGGGTGATGTGTGACCATGTTTGACATTGATTAAAAAAGCAAATTTCTGAAGGCAGTAACAATTGAAGAATTTTAAAGTCGCTGGTGTTTTGCTTTAGAAAAATACCACTTGGTGGTCATTTGGAAGGTGCTTCTACTTTTGTGTAACTTCTTTCTAGTTTCAGTAGAAATTTTCCTGGGAAGCTTTGACCAAAACAAAAGTGGAATTTCATTTCAGTTTAACTCTTAGGCACATGTTACAAAACTGCTGTTCTGAAAATATATCAGCACTTTTTGTAGAATCAATTCATATAAAAATGTAGTTCAGAAGAGCTTCAGCTACATATACAGAAGTGTGTGTGTGTGTGTGTTCCCTACATGTGCCCCACACTACGTGCATGGATTCCAGTACCATCCATACCTTATTAGAGCTACGCACACACGTTATTCAGAACTCGAACTTGCAACAAATGTGAAATACTGCAGCAATTAAAGTTCATTTGGATTGAATGTTAAGTCGTAATGAGAGTCTTCCCTTGCCTTATCAAGCCAGAATTGTTTCCACACATCAGACTACACTAGATTACGTTATTTTATGGTGCTGCTAGAGCTTCTGATGCTGAAACCACAAGAGCAGACTGCCTAGTCATATGCAGTAGAGAACATGTTGGTCTATTATCAGTTCCCAGGTACCTACTTTTACTGTGATTAATACTTTCTTGCATGAAAACATTCAGTTGATTGGGATATTGTCAGGGACAATTCCTCTGAAACTGCTGGATTTGGTTGTCATCTTGGCACGATGCTGACTTTTGCAGGGGTTGGAGGTCCTGAGGAAGAGCGGTAGATGTGTGTAGGAGAAGTTGGAGACAATTTAACGGGGCTCATGGGTTCTGATGTCTGAAGTTTCCACAGCAGCTCTTCATTAGTCCTGCTCAGCCTCTTTTTCTCCTTGCTTTCCTTCTCAACATATTCTTGGAGATTGGCATTTTCTTCGGACAACTGCCTAGAGAGGCAAAAAAGGCAAGATCAGCTCATAACTGTGCCTGCCTTTCATCGTTACTGCATGCCTCATCTGGAGCACGGGATCATTGCATCTGTTTTGTAAACAGTTCTCAGGATTCCCTCAAAACCTGTTTTACCTTCAGGTTTTGGATTCGGCCCGGTCTGTTCCCTTCCCCAGTGGCAGCTCCAGGTCCCCGCAAACCCCTGAGACAAGGCATCACCGTGGGCCTCTCCTGCAGCGAGCCGACCTTCTCACTGTGCCATCATCACCAGCTGTGATTGCACCCCATCCTCTTTCTCTCCATTGCTACCACTCACTGACAGGCAGAGAGCCAGTGAGCAGGCTGGCCATGGCAACTGCCGTTCCTCCTCCTCACCGCCTGTTCCTCCTCCTTACCTTCTGCTCACAATAGATGGCTTTCATGGCCTAATGTAAACTAGGTGGGGGATTCAGGAGCTCTCTTCTCAAGATGGAAGGCCCCTGGTCAAGGAAGGTATCCTCACCCAATTTGGAGGGATCCCTCCTTCCCCCACCACACCAGCTCAATCTATCCAGCTGGATCTTCCGATTCTCTGTGTAGCATTTTCAAGGACTGGAGGGGCTGCCGCTCGGAAGAGGGGGCAGGAAGACCACCTCTGCCTACCCAGCTGCAAGTGCCTCAACCTGGCCCCAGCCCCAGACTTCCTGTAATGAAACCGTCCTCATTCGTTCTTGCGCATGGGGCTGGTTCCCCGGTGCATGCTCACCACTGGAGTGCTCCAGCACAGAGCAGTGGCTTGCATGTATAAACAAGTCGCTCTAACTATACAACTACGACCAACAGGGTCATCACACCAACATTATCTCAAGCACAAGGTTGTTCTTTTTGCAGAAGCATCACGTCACACATTCCGCTTCCAGTCGTCAGCTGCGCGTGCAGAGGAACTGAGCCACAGGCATGCATGGGTGAACCAGCCCTGAGCCACTGTAGAAAGCGTCAGAAGCAAATGTGCTTGGCAGCAGGATCGTTTGAGGGTTCTTAACGGGGTGCCATAGCCCAGTGGGAAAGCACATGCTTTGCATGCAAAAGGTCCCGGGTTCAACCCCTTGCGCCTCTGCTGAAAGGTTCCCTGGGAGGAAGACTGGGAAAGTGCTTGGAAAGTGCAGTCAGAGTAGACTTGCTAAGCCCATGAATGGTCCTAGGTTTGGTAATTAATGGTCCTACTTCTAGGCCAGGTCAATTAGGGGCTGACTCTGCAAAAAGCATCATCATATGCATATAACCATTAGAAGAAAAAAAAATCAGGGACACAGAACTGTTTACAGGTGGAGGCCAGAGAGCCCCCTCTATCAAGACCCCCATGAGCTGAATGAGTCAGGAGCCGTGGCTCCAAACCCCATCGCTTTCCCCCCTTCCTGTTTCTCTTCATGCTGGAAGGTTGTAGAGAATTGTGCCTCCTCCCAGCAGGCTGCCCCCCATTCCTATTGCCCACATCAGAGACAGCGGAAGGCATGAGGGGCATGGGGAGTCACCTTTGCCAGGCAAAGTGGCTCCACTGTGGGCAGGTCTCGATGCAGACCGCCCTTCCTCCCCGGAGACAGATGCAGAGGGATGCCCTCTGGTGGCGGGGCAGGAAGCCCCAGAGGCAGTGCAGGGTGGATGGGAAGCATTGTTTGAGTTGGATTAGTCTCACAGCTAGTTGTTCTGCACTCCCTTAGAAATAAGGGATTTTAAGCGCAGGACTTTATCTTCAGTACCAGGAATGAACACATCCTCTTCTGGTTGCCTCAAATGTTCTTCATTTCACAGTATAATGGAGGCTTGGTCATTTTGTTCCTGCTGTTATGAATTAAGAGGAGTCAGAAATCACCCAGAGATTACCGTTAGATTCTAGTTTGCCACCCTAATATAGGATCTAAGATTTTTTACATCCAATACTCTTTTTTTTTTTACATTTTTGAGGGGGGCACTTCATGTTTCATGGCTAGATTGTCCCTTAGACTAAGCCTGGTGGGCTGGATACAATGAAGGGGGCAGGCCCACCCCAAGCCCCACCCCAAGCCCCACCCCTTTCTGTGATGTCATTGGCACCAGGATGACCACTTTTCTTTTTTCTGCAAGCGAGCTGAGCAGGGCCCCAGGCTTTTCTCTTCATAGAAAGCGACCTGGCTGGCTGTTAAGGGCACTGGCCAAGCTCAGCTGCTCTGTCCACAGTCATCACATGCTGACGGGGGCAGGATGGCAGGTGCACTTAGGGGCTTGGATGGGGCTGGCAGGCTTCCTACAAGTTCTGGCCAACTGGGCTCAGAGAATTCCCAGCTTCTCTCTGATGCTCGGTCTGGGGTAATACAGGGGCGTGTGGTTGTACAGCAGGGGGTAGAACCTCTAGAGGTGCTCCAATGCCTGCTGGCCAGCTTGGGCCCCAGAATGGGCTAGAAGGAAGACTGAAGGGAGCCTTCACCTGCAATACAGTACATAAGCAACGCAAAGGGAAGCTGCACAGTACAGAAGCCAGCCGTGACTGGCGGCCCCTGCTCTGCTGTGACAATAAATCAACGATCTCTTTGCTGGAGGATGAAGTGAAGCTGCAGACTATCCCCAAGCGGCTCTCCAGGCAGGATGTATCTTTGTGGACAAGAGTGTGTGCATGAGGATTTTGCTTGTCTTGTTTTCCCACACTACCAGCATGTGCCCAAAGATAATTTCTTCTGGTGAGCAGGAAGAAAATAAGAGCCCTCCCGTTGTGGCTCTGCCTCTCTCCTGCATAGTTTTTGCCTCGCTCATCTAATGCTGACAGCAGCAAAAGACGTGAAGGGTCAGGTAAAGACGGGAAAGGATGGGCATGGAGTGCTGTGCACACGTTGGAAGGAAGCCAGGAGATCTCCGTCAGCTCAGCCACAGGCCTGGCTCTTTGGAGAAGAGTTCCTGCTGAGACAGACAGAACATCAGTTGGAGGCAGGCACTAAGGATCCTCAGATATCACTGAGTTCAGCGGCTGTGGCACGATGGGGGAAAGCAGAACGCGAGACCGTAGTGCAGCAAAGTGCTGCTTTCTGTCGGAGGGCTTGCGTCTCTGAGGCATGTGCTCAGCTTTGCCTGATATGCACAAGGCATGCGACAGTCACATTACAGGCACCTGCGTCCCCGCTGGGTTAGTATGTCCGCTAATTAGAGCATCTGATAAAGTGGGCATTAGGTTATAAAATCTCATACCTCAATCAAGGTGTGACTCTTTATTTTTGTCTTTGTAGCCACAGACCACCCTTCTGCATTTGTGTCTCGCTAAAATCATGTGTAAAGCTCTCCGGGGATGCCTGGGAGAGCATCTCGGGGACTGTGGGAGCATGGCAGATTCCCTCCCGCAATCCCGGGGCTGCAGAATCTGCAACGACTTTGGGAAGGGGAACCTGAGATTGGACGGTTCCCCCACCCGACCCCTGCCATAGAAAGCAGCACACGGGCTGCTCTTTCAGGGCTGTAATGGCAGCCTCAGCCTTGTTGGGTGAGCAAAGGAGGCAGGATGGGAAAGGAGGAAGGGGCCACTGGAGCACAAAGCCTCCCCCACACCAGTAGGGATGCATCAGGAATTCGTTTCAATTTGTAGGCCACTCAAGAGTGTCTTGTCTGCAACCCCTAACATTCCCCTGCAGGAGCACATTCCCCAGAAATCCCTGCAAATCCCCACTCTCAGGTTTGTGCTCACCAGGCATGCACTTGGAAATGGGCTACCTGTGAATGATGCAGAACTTTCCCTATTCCAATGAACAGAAAAAGAGATTGCAAATGAGAACAGGAGCCAGGCTGAGCTTTGCAGAACGTTAGGAGAATTTCAGGGAGCTTGGGTGTCTCCCCTCCATAGTCCCCAGTACACACAGTACACGGCAAGGCAGCTAGGCAAGCTGAGAAGCTAAAGGTATAAATGGGGGAAGGATGGAGAGGGGGTTTCACCAGTGTTGTCCTCCCGGTCCCACAGGGCACTGCACGGACAGAGGGTTCTGACCTTAGGATGGCGCTCTAACCACAAAGAGTGATGCAAGTTCACATGCTGTATGCCACAATGAAACAACAATTCTGCATTAACATGCTGCAGGTTTGCACAAGGAAAAAGCAAAATTGGCAAAAGTACCCATAAAACTGATGCAGCAGGGCTATAGATAAGCAAGAAGACCGAGAACACAAGGAGAGCCCTGCTGGATCGGATTAAAGGGCCACCGAGTCCAGCATTCTGTTCATTCAGTGGCCAACCAGCCGCCTGTGGAAGCCCCCAAGAGAAGCCAAGAGAAGCCCCCATACTCATAATGGCCTTACATGTGGCATTCTTGTGCCCATACATGGTGTATTGTGATCATGTTTTGCAGGGAAAACCATCTCTCTGCAAAGTGGATTAATTTGAAACATACAGAGATTCAGGTAGTGTCTACCCCAATACCCAGGTGTTTTCAGCATAGACGTTGAAGATCAACTGCTTGCAGAATAAACTTCAAGTCAGCACTGATCCACAGTATAAGCGAACTGTTGGCAATTCCTGAGGAGGAAAGCTTTGTTTATGGAGTCTCTGCGTTAATGGAGCAGATGGTTAATGATAACACACGACAGCACTATGTATGTTTACTCAGAAGCAAGTCCCACTGAGTTCAGTGGACTTCACTCCCAGGAAAATGCGCACAGGGTTGCATCTGTGGTCTATCTGGTGAACTTCATGTATATTTCCTTAGGAATTCTAACAACTCTGTAGAGGAAACCACTCCTCTTACCAATGGGGCTCCAGTCTGAGAAACTGACAGCTCTAAGAGAAGCCAGTATATTCTGATATAAGCTGTTGTGACACTGCCCATATGCACCCGATGAACTGGACCATGTGTATGAGAGCGTATATCTTTCAGGAAAAGTTCCTGCAACTTGCAGTGTTCCCCATTCAGCATGGATGTGGGAGACGGGAAGTTGCAAGACCTTTTTCTGTGTAAACGTGCATAGGATTGTTTTTAACCACCCTGCGGAAAATGAGAAATCCAGGTTTAGCTGAAGCCAAGGAAGAACTCAACCAGTGCAAGGCCACTGTGATTTCAACGAGACCCTCCCTGGCTCAGAGCTCATGTTCTACTAGAACATTTCATTTCAGCAACTTTACACTTTATGGATTAACACACTGATAAGAGCAGAGCATCCCCTTTGATTGCACACTTCTTCACATTTTGTGATGTAGTGCTCAGCTCAAAAATGAGTGCAAAAATGCGCACCCATTTTTTAGGGGGAAATACATACAAAATGCTTATTGTAGGGGAAATTCTATAGAATTTAAGTTGGAATGTTCAGACCTTTTAAAAAGGAGCAACACAGAAAATGGGGCAGGACAAGTAATATAGAATGATCTATCCATTCATTCTTGAAAAGAAGCTCAGTTGAGGATGGATCACTTTCTCCCACATCTGGAATTTTAAAATGTCATTCCTTTCATTCCCAATTTGAAGCAAAATGCAAATGCTGGTAAATTCTTACTAAAAATAAAAGCACTGAACTGAAATTCTTGACCATTTCCTCCTCCCAAGTGTAGGGCTGCACCTGTAGCTGCTCTGAGACTTGAATTTTCAATAAGCTAAAGGAACATTATGTGCTGCTAATGTGATCATGACACTCTATAGGGCAATGGTATTTCTATTTGCCATTTTAAACTGCAGAGCAAATGCTTAGACAGACCTGGTCACCACAGTGTTCTGATCAATCCTGACTCTGAGGTCTTCATTTTGCTGTTGAAGCACCTGGATTTTTTCTTCCAGTATTAAGTTCTTTTCGGCCTGCAGTGACAGAAGAGACAGCCACAGTGTGAGCATTCAGGGCAGGCGAGCTCCCCAAAAGGACTACGCCACCAATTCTTTCCAGCAGAAGCGTCCACCCAGATCCGATGGTGTTGGCTCAGTGTAAACATACGAGAGCTCACATACACCATCCTTGGTTTAACAGATGAAGATGTTAGGTTTGCTTTGTCTCAACGCAAGCAGTATCCTCTATGCCACAGGGGAGAGGAGAACAATTTTTGTGGGAGGAGTGGTGCCAGCTGCTCACCTTCCTCAGTTAGTTCCAGATCAGATTTTGTCACTTGAAGGAACTGGATATGTTCAGCCAGGAGAAGAGCAGATGAGACAGAACGCGAGAGCTCTCTTCAGATGCTTGAAGGGCTCTCAGAGTTGGGCAAAGGCTTGCCTGGTGCTGCCTCAGAGGGATTAACTTAGTGGGTGCAGGTTGCAGGAGAGTAGATCTTGCCTGAGCATTGGCAGAGACTTCTTGGGTGGGGAACATGTGGCCCTCCAAATGTTGCTGGATTACAGCCCCCACCAGCTCTAGCCACTACAATCAATGGTCAGAGATGATGGGAGCTGCAATTCAACAATATCCAGAGGGCTGCATGTTTCCCTTGCCTGCCTTAAATGACAGGAGAAGTTTGGCAAGAGAACCGATTATTTGGGGCTGACTCCGGCTCTTCCTCAAGTTTGTTGGCTGAGGATGATGGGACCTCTAGTTTAACACACATGGAGAGCACCATCTTGTGGAAGGCTGCTGTGTGTCATAGCTTGTGCCACAAATACACAAAAGCTCTTGTGCCTTTCCTTCATCTTCCCTGTCCCCAGATGGGAATAAGACAAAAAAGCACACACGAGGGAGCTCACCAGTCTTTCTAGCTCCATGATCCTCTTTTCCTGCTGATGGATGAGCTGATTCTTCATCTCCAAAACCTGCTTCAGGCTTCTCATGTCTTCCTCTAAATGCTGGTACGGAGCCAGTGCGACCTAGAAGGAAGAAGGAGAGCAATGGAAAACAGAAATCATAGTCCAACACATTTTATTTTTGTTTTCACAAGTTTAATTAAATTATTTATATGCAGAGATGTATGAGGATTTTAGTTCACTTTGCAAATCCTTTGAAAATGACTCATTTGCAGCTCCAGACACAAAGGCAAATCAGTGCTTCCATTCTCCAGAAATGTTCACAAATTTGTTCTCCTTCACAAAATGCATAACTTTGAAAAATGCACAATTATGAAAAATGTGCAATATTCAGTCAAATGAACCCAAAACTGTTGCAATTGAGAATGGGAATGAGCTGAACTATGAAGTAAATTTTGGAGATTTTAGGGAGCTCAAACAACCCTGGTTCTCCCAACCAAGCAAGTGTGTGAGTGTGCATGTGTACACACTCCCTTTCAGTTACCTCCAGTTGTTCTTCAGTGTTTTTCTTTAATGCCTCTTCAAATCGTTTTGCCTTGTCCTTCAGAGACTGGCTTTGGAAAGTGAGGGTATCTACCTGGTCCTGTAGCAACATCAAACACAAACACACGTTGCCTTGGATGCTTTCACTTGCCACGAGCGAAATGAGCTGGGCAGTAGCCCTGATGCAGAGAAAGCCAGGCAGCCTTAACTCCTGCTGAGTCCACGAAAGAAAATGAAGAGTCAAACAGATGTGATTGAGAGATGTGGGGTTACTTGCACTTTTACTGAATAACACTGAAAAGGACTTAAGCTTGGTTAACATTCATTTGATGCAATCTGTAGCTAACAATTATTAGCCCCCCCCCACCCTTTTTTTTTTTTACTCTAGCAATACAGTCCTGTTGATCTGGACTGGGACTCTAGCATGGAGGAGAGCTTTCACTTTCTCCACCACTGTGGCCCAGTCAAGATTGTCCTGCTTCTTTCATCTGCAAAATTGTGCTCCACTTATGGAATGCGCTCCCCAGAGAGGTCCACCTGGCACCATCGTTATTTGTTTTTCGGCGCCAGGCCAAGACCTTTTTATTTAAACAATATTTTAATAACTGTTAATATTATTTATTGGTTTTAATTTCTACAGCCAGGGTGAATCTGGATTTTAATATGTATTATCTTTTATGCTTGTTTATTTATTGTGTTGGAAGCTGTCCCGAGGCTCATGCGAATGGGACGGCATACAAAACCTCCAAATAAATAAATAAATAAATAAATAAATAAATAAATAAATAAATCTGCTAGCTAGCTACTAAAGGACTCCCCATTTTGGCCTTCAGGACAGGAACCAGCAGTTCTTTCTAGAACAGAATAGAGTGTGTGTGATGCGAGGCGTCATTTCCTATGACGCTTATTTCTTTTCCTCCAGTTTCTGAAGTGCTTCGGCTGTACCATGAATAGAGAGGAAAGTGGGATGAGCGCACACAAGAAAGGGAATGATACCTCTAATGTGGCACCTTTACCTCCTTGAGGCACGTTATCACCTGGGAGTTCAGGGGCTACCCAATACCCTGTGGAATTCAAGGAGATGTCACTTTTATTCTTCAGTACTTGTGTTTAGTTAAATAATTTTGACCTGCTACTTGCTCATGTATTGTTGAATATGCAAACATGCAACAAACAACCCGTTGTTTGTTAACTTCCATGGGTTGTTTGGGGGCATGTGGGCATGAGTGTTCATGCTGCCTCCTGGCTGCCCACCCATTTCCAGTTCGCTAAACAATCCTGGGATGACGTCTCTGCCATGTGAACCTGGAACTCTGAGTTGTTGAGGGAGACATAACCCAGCATTTTCACTCAAGAACAAGCCAACGTAACCTATGTTTGTTTCTCTCTCAACATAACCCAAAGCTAAGGGTTCACAAGTCATAGAGAACAACCCAGGGGGCATTGTTATGTTGTTTAGCGCACCAGAAGCAGGCAAAGGGGTTGGAAAAAAGCCTTCTTGCCCATCCTTTCCACCCCAAACCACGGGTTCTTTTGTTGTGTATTAACTGGAAAACAATGGAAAGAGGAGGCACTTGTATATCACAGAAATAAAGGAGAGAAAAAATTCTCAGGTGCCTGGTAGTAAAATTTCAATATAGAAGAGATATTGGAGGGGTTCTTTTCTCAATATATCTGGCAAAAGACAAGGGGTCTCTGATAAAGGAAAAAAGATTGTTTCCAAAAGGCATGGGCAAAATAATTGCTCTTTCCAGGCACATGAGCAATTTTCTCTTGTTTTTGAGCATGTGAATTGAGTCAATGCTGCAACATAATAGCTAAAAGACTGAGCTGAGACTCAGGAAGTTGCTGATTCAAACCTTGCTTCTGCGAAGAATGCACTAGTGAGAGCAGAGCAGATTTCAGGCATCTGGGCTGCACTGCGCTTTTTCAGCTGACTTGTGGAGTCCACAGACTGGAGCTGGGAGCACAGTGGGGCGCAGGTGGGGATGGGTGGGGAGCTGATATACACTTTGAAATATGAAACAGGGACCCTCTGAGCGCACAGGGACCCTTGATGTGTGTTGCAACAAGCAGAGCTTTGTGAAAAACACGGAGGTTTACATGTCGTGAAAGTACTAACCTGGAGTGACAAACGCAACTTCTCAAAGCTCTCTTCAAGTTCTCTCTTTTCCAACTCATGCATAGTCTTCAGTTCTAGAGAGAAAAAAATAATAAGAACAGCAACAGAACAGGGTGGTGTGAAAATGCTATGTTGCGTATCCATCACTCACCACCCCTGGGCCTTAGCTCTTAGGGCTCGATACTGCTGGATCTTGGCTGTCACACATCTCACACTGCCATTTATGATGTCCAGCTAAGTGGTGCCCAACCACAAGTCTTATGGTGGGTCAGTCTAGACTGAACACTAATGCTTCAGCATGGCTTTGCTTCTACTGTACTAAGTCCAGGGGTAGAAAGACACACCTGGCAGGAAAATCAGTGGCACTTGGAACAAATGATTATACTAAGCTTCCCTGGGCAGTGGATATCTTTACTCAGATGAATTTCAGCAAGATTCCACACACAGGGAAAGTTCCTTGTCCAACGGGAGGAGAGAATACTTTGCTTAGTGACCAAGAAGCTACCTCATCTATTTGGTTCTGCATATGATGCTGAAATCTTCTGTAGGTCACATTGCAGAGTGACTAAAAGTGTCATTCCGCCTTCCTCCACCCTATATCCTCCACAAGTGCTAGGCTAGAACTCCTGATAGTCCATGTTGGACGGTACAGACTGGCACAGCTGAAGAGCAGCTGGTTGCTTGGCTGTGATGTGTAAAATCCCTGTTTGAAATCTGAATGTAATAAACCCAATTAGGCAAGCCAGCATTCTTTCAGCCTCGATTCCCCTTGTCTCAATTTGCAGTATGAGGATAATCCTATGTCTGGCCTACCTTGCCAAGTTGTTGTAAGAATGTCTGAGAACCTGAATGTGAAACACAGTGAACCTTCTAAAGAGCCATCAACCAGGAATATAAGAAGTCACCTTTCGGCATGCCAGACTATTTGTCAGACTAACCCAGCACTATCTACTGTAACGATGCCTCTCCAAGGATTCAGGAAAAGGCCCTTCCCTGGTCCCAGCTATCTCTGAAGCTCTTCAGGGACTGAAGATGGCATCTTCTGTATGCAAAGCAGGTGTCCCAACACTGAGGGCTGGTTCAGTCCCTGTCACAGCTTCACGATCCACACTGTGCTCTGTACACAGAGTCCTTTGTAAACAAATCTCTCCTCCGCAGGCAGCTGTCAACACAGCTTGTTGATGTGACCAGTGCTACTGACCCAAAGTTTATTTTGTAAGCCGTCGATCTTCAGCTGTGATGTAGTCAACATCTGGGTACTGGGCTGGATACGACAGACACTTGTCTCATTAGCCAGGGCCTGCCTGTGCAAGTGATGCTGGTCGCTAAATATCAATTCCTCTGCGCACCCACCTGCCATTCCCTAGGGATTTAGTTTGACAGAGGAACCCTTGGCTGCAGAGGCCTGAGGATTAGTCAGTCCTTCTGCAAATTAGGGGCAAAGTCCTAATTCTTTGTATGAGCTCAAACTTAATTAATGCTAAGGGTACAAAAGAGCATATGGCAGCTTTCCTTAATCGGATGCCTTCCAGATGTGTTGGGACTGTGCCTCCAATAATTCCCACCAGCACTGCCAGTGGCGTCAGGTTGAGGAAAGGAAGTTAGGGGTTTAAATGCTCTGGGAAAAGAACATTTTTGAGGCTAGGCATATATACCAAAGAAACAAGTACACAAAGAAACACACTCACATAAAACAGACACTCCTCACCTCATCTTTCAGCCCTGCTATGAGGCCACAAGGTTATCAATAGTCTGGGGGCAGGGAGCTATGGGTGTGCAGGCCCAATTTGGCTGCCAGGCAGGCCCAGCTGGAAGAGGGAGTGGCGCACTAAGCGGAATGGAATTCCCAATCTTATCTCCAATTGCTGATCAGAGATAAGAGCAGGGATTCCTCCACCCACCAGTTTTACCCTCCCTGCATCTTCCCGGCAGAGGGAATTGGATGCACAGCAAGCCGGGCTCCCTGGCCAAACCAGCAGCTGCAGGAATTCCACCTAGGGCTTGAAGTGGCAACCAAATGACGCCAGGAACCATGGCCTTGTGTTCATCCTTCGACCTGTGAAGGGCTGGGTAGGGTTGATGGCCATCCCCTTGTCCAAAATTAGTTCTCCACCTTTAGAGTAACAGATGGAATGCCAGAGCAATGAAGTCATAGGTTAATACCTTATTCAGGAGGTGTGCTGGGTACCAAAAAGATTCAGGCTTGAGGTCCATAGGAAATAAAAACCACGTATTTGCAAATGACAATTTACATAATTTATATTTTTAAAGTCTCTTTGCACTTTTAAAGTCTCTCTCCCTCCTCTCTCTTAGGAGGGCCCTGCCTCCTAAGAATACCCTGACTGTAAAAAGGGATATATGGATGGGTAAGAAGGGAGTATTAAATTTCAGGGTGAGACAGAAGCAGAAGATGATGCCCATGCGGGCAAAAAGCAGCTAATGCAACAGAGATAATCTTGTATTTCAGCAAGTGTGCATGAACAGCAAGGTGATGAGGCAGAGCGCCACCCAGAGATGCAAATGATCCAGCCCTGTAACTTCATCTCGGATCCTACTGTGCCTATGCACAAGTAAGGACAACCATTCAAGCAATGGGGCTTTTCCATGTCTAGAAATAACCCCCAAAGAAATGGAAATGCTTGTTTCAGGAACAGGTCAGATCTATCAAAAAAGATCTATCATTCATGCAAAAAAGAAGCACGACTGAACTGTTCTGACCTGGAAGCAAGCATTTGTGCTTGTTTCCAGGGTAAATTTTAGGGCTGCACAAGTCACTACCATGAATGCAGCAGAGGTAAAGCAACCCCCTTGGATGCTATTCAATCAAAATTCAATGTTTTCAGTCAAAAATACAATATTTTTGCCCTCTCTTCAGTGCTGCAACTTTAGAGAACACTCTTACCACTGGGGGTGAGGAGACTCAAAACTGGAGGAACCACCCTACCCACAGTCCAGCAGGATGCGTGCCAGCAGAGCTCCAGTGCTGGAGAAGCACCAGCTGCAGCCCATTCTGCTGGGTTATGGAACAGAACTGTGGGGTCAGGCTTGCCTCTTTACTCTCAGAGGCATTCCATTCCCTCTGCCCCCAAGTACCTGGGCATCCTCCCAAGAGCCATCAAGTTGCAACCTTAATGCATTTTTAATGAAAATTGTAATAGCTAAGTTACCTATTACCTATAGCTATTGACTGAATATCTATTGATAACTATGAATTTAGGAGTCATTCCAGCTTTTTTCTTGTTTTAAAGGCTATACGATGTACACTAAATGTGGATGTTTTTCATAATTTGAAATTTGACCTTGAATAAGTCTGTGTTTTAATAACCCACATAATGTTTAAGGTGAGTTTGTTTAAAATTATTGACCTGCCTAATGACGACAAGCAGGAACTCCATAAACTTATTCCCAGAACAGTGCCCAATTCAACCACAAGGGGGCACCCAAAGCCTGCACAGAACACTCAGTCTGAGAGGGTGAGGAGAGGTTTGCGCATTGAAACGCCAACATGAAACTATCTTAGAAAAAACATGTGTGCATAAAGATAATAGCATTTATCCAAAATAAGAAAGATTGACAGTAAGATTCATATAGATTAAAGTGGGCGACTCCGGACATCATGACTTTGATGCCAGATTACTGGGAATTTTAACCGCTATTTAATCAAGGGGAATCAGTTTCCAGCACAGATATGTGTATTGTGAATGTCAGTAGAGCTTCCAGTATTAATTCCCACCTTAAAAGTATTTCTGCAAAGTTATCTCTGGTGCACCATTTGTGATAGATTAATCTTCCCTGTCCTTTCTTTGGTTTTCCTTTAGTGGGTCAGTTTTGTTGCCTTTAACTCTGTCATGCCCCTAACGCTTTCCTGCCTGATATGGATGGGCCACCCTGTTGAATGGATGGGGCAGCCCTGCAGTTTCAGTCCTTTCATCACTCTTTTAAAAGGATCTCAGCAGAAAACCTCACCTGAACCCCTAGAACCAGACTAAGACAGACCAGTGGTCAGACTGAGTATAAGGCATTCATGCATTTATTTAATTTAATAACCTGCATCCAGCATTCTCCTATGTATCTAATATGTATTCCACTTGGGTGGCCACTTAACGAGTCATCCTAAGTAGGAATAGAAAAGGACAGTTTTTTGCATAAAGTTTGCATATGCTAACTTATATAAAGAAATTGAAATTTATAAATAATAATTAGAATTAAGATGGGAATTCAAGAGGCATCACCATAGTGTGGGAGACAGAGACCTTGCTAATGCCTGCTCCCTGGTGATGGAACTGTCTTACAGTTCTTTATCTTTCAGCTGGAATTGGAGTATCTTTCAGCTGCCCTCTGGATTACAGAGGCTTCAAATAAAGGGCACTTTTCTGGCAGCCCTTCAAGCAGTGGACTGCCCTTTGCAAAAGAGGACATTTCCACCCTGGTATCAAGCATTTCACATATGCTACCTGACAAGCACCTTGCTCTAACGCAGTGGCCCAACTATCTAACTGAAAGGCTTGTCAAAACAGGGTTCTTTTTACCTGGTGCCCAGGGCAATGCTGCTGCTAGTTTAACTTCAAGGGGGAGCAGCATTCCCCAGTTGGGACTGAAGAAGTCCCTCTTACAGGTTGCAGGAATCTGAAATGAGTCAGAGGAAGGTTTAAACAAAAGGCCTTCCCAGAGGCTCTTGATTCATGGGCAGAGTGGAACCGAGAGCTATCAAAGATAACCCAAAGCAATGTGCAAAGATAGGATTTAAACACAGAAATAAGGCACTGACTTTAAGTGCTCTTGACCTGTTGTTTTATTTATTGGCATCCTTTGGTATCACTTAGTTATGTGATGCTAATGTGGTGTCTCCTGTGTCCGATGCAGTCCTTATTTCTAAGTAGACATGCATCAGATAGGGTTTTGTACCATGCTGTGCCTCATTGTTGCTGATAAATAGACATGCAGAGGGATGTTTTGTGATAGATATGTAAGGCAGCAGATGTGAATGTCCTTAGAGCTTGCTGCCAAGATCTTAAGACTACTCTTCCCTGTGACTCTGGCAATACCACCACCACCACCATCACCAGGGTCATTGTTCTCTGTTCCTGCTTTGCAGTCATGATCTTAGAGTGCATGTGCTTCAGTTTCACTTACTGTGGCATGGCCTGCTCAAAATTTAAAAGATGCTCTGTCTTTACTGACCCTGCCCTCTAGATGTCCACCATGCCACCAGTGACTCCATATTTTCCAATGCTATGAAATTACCTTGGACTTTGCACTCATATTCATCCTGAAGCACCGAGAGAGCAATGGTGTGATTATTTTCCATCTCTAACACTGTCGCTTCCTGAGTTGCTGCAATGTCGTCTACCTGTTCAAATAAAGCAGTACAGGAAAGAGAAAACTGATTTAGATGGCTTGATAAGGGGATCAGGCAAATTGATGGAGGATAAGGCTACTGATGATGACACGTCATACTGGCTTCATGCTACCCATAGTTTCAGAAACACATGCCGGTGAATTCCATCTGCAGGACAGCAGCAGCAGGAGAGAGCTGCTGCCTTCATGCAAAGGTGAGGTTCTTCTCAGGGACATCTGGTTGGCCATTGTGGCGATCACCATGCTGGACAACACAAGCCTGACCCAGCAGGAGCAGCCTTACTTTCTTGAATCCCAATTTTCAGTGAGTTCTCATAATTGACAAGAAGTGAATCTGTGGCTCCAGACAGCATGCTAATCCACACTCAACCCTTGTTTGTTGTGCTGTCTGAACCCCAATGAGATAACAAACCCCAGTGAACAAACTACAGTATGCAAGCCAACAACAAATCATGGTTTACTAGTGGTGAAGAAGCCATGCCTTGTTAGCACAGCTGGGTTCATGCAATGTAATCGTCCACATTTAATAATAACGTATCACAGTTCAACAGCAACCCACACCCAACAATTAAGTGTGGGTTATTGTATTGTCTAAAACCAATCAATGGCTCAAGGAGCAAGAAAATCTCACAAACCCAATTTGGTACTTTTTATGTATAAATGCCAAAATGCAAGGGGGGCATCTTCACCTGAACTGTTTCAAGGGCATCTGTGGTGCTTCCTCTGTGGAGTCTACCTCCTGGCACTTTAGATCACTGGTCCTTCCAGGGCCAGACAACCTCCACCAATCCAGGGCCAATTCCCAACCCCTTCCAGCCTGGGCACTGCTGATTTTGCTGAGAGGCAGTTTTTGGAGGCATGATCTTGCTTCTCTCCCAAGGCACCACACTTTAAAGGAAAATCACTTCTTTGCACCACCGAAAATTCATGGAGTGGGGTGGGCACCAGAAAACAGTTTGGAGCTGCATGTGGACCATGTGTTTCCCTTCCCTGCTTTCAGGGTCCTTTCCAGCCCCCGGCAGGAGATGTCAGGGCTTGACCACGGGCCTCTTAGCATGCAATACTCGGGCCCAACCACTGAGCTACAGCCAATTTTCCAAGGCCTGCCTGGTCTAATTTATGGGCCACTTCTCCACAGCCAACCCTGCCCAAAGCAGCTCTCTGTAAACACCGATTAGAAAAAGGCAGCCTCCCAAATGCCATTCTGCTGCCCTCTCCCCACACTCCAGCCTGTGCTCCCGCTCTGTTTTCCCCAGAGTGGAGGGAATTGAAACACTCCTCAGACTGACTTAGGGCTGGTGTCTATCAGGGGTGGTGCTAGGTGCCAAAAGGCCCAGCACTCAGGCTCGCAGCACAAACGCAGAGCACAAATCTGAGATGCAGCTTCATGCACACTCCAATTTCTTGTGTTGTTAAAGGATTCTTTCTTTGTAAGGACACCCCTGTTTGTAAAAAGAGTTGCATGGATGGGAGAGGAGGGTGTTTGCAGAAAGATGCGAGGTGATGCAGGGGCAGCAGGAGGGGAGGCACATCTGGGGAAAATCCGCTACCCTGGGGATCACCAAGACCCCCAGTCCTTTCCTTCTGCAAGTGTCCTCAGACAGCAAGGTGGTGGGGTAGGTGGCCTCCCTGAGATTCAGGGCACCAAAGGCATGCCAGACCTCGCAAGCTGTTCCCTAGTAGCACTCATGGAGAGACAGCAAATGACTGAATGTATGAATATTTATTTATTACACTGCAAAATGTAAAACAGTTTTATGCTGCTCCTCAGTATAACTCCTGGAATAGCTCAAAAAGAGAGACAATCCCCCCCGCCCCCCGTCTCCCGGTGCCAGCATCATCCCCCAAACAATTAAATGGATCAATTAGCAGAAAGTAGAAGTTTAAAAGAGACCCTAACATTTGGTGGAGTGGCGCTTTAAACGCCTATAGACTGTTTATAGATTTAAGAAGCCCAGGCAAAACAAAAGATATGAGGGTTGGCACCAGTTGAGTCTCCTTTGGGAAGGCATTCCAGACAAAGGATGCCTTGGCCAAGGCCCACTTTCAGCCCCCTGTGAGTTTAGGGGACACACAGAGGAGAGCCTCCGTGCAAAGAAAAGGCTCGGGCAGGTTGTGCTGCAGCTGGACACAGAGGTCATGATGTATGAGTCTCCCTCTCCATGTCACTGGTGGATCTTGTTCCAAATCTTTCATGTTGTTGTTGTGATGACGATGACACGGGGGGGAGGGTGTTAAATCGTGTGTATTGGACGGTGGGGAATGAGAACCTACTCAAAAGGAAATTTCAGGGATACATACCATAACTTGACTGTGTGTACCTTCAGTTGTGATGGGGCTACTAGACTAACAGTTGAGATGACTTGACTGACCTGCTCTTGGTGTTGACTCTTCATGCTGGTGAGCTGGGTGCTGTGGTCCTCTTGCAGCTGCTCCATTTCGGCAGCATACTGTGTCCGCAGCCGCTCTTCGAGCGCTTGGAGCTCCTCCTTCTGTTCCCAGCCAAGCTTCCTCAGCTTCCCCTCAAACTTTTTCTCCAGCTCCTCCTTCTCTTTTTGTAATTTCTCATATCTCGCTGCATTGAGAACTGCAAATTAAAATAACTACTCATTAAGGTTCCATAGCCAAGTCAGAAGTGAAAGAGTTTCCTTCCTCTATATCCTCCACCACCTGTACCTCCACTAGATATAAGCAGAGCTGAATGGTGGGAATGTGTGACTCACTGTGTGGAGCACTGGCCACCTGCCAGGTAGGGTGGTCCACTAGCCATGGTTCGTGGGCTTTGTGTGCTGCTTGCCAACTCCACGGGAGCAGCACATGAACAGCCTTGCAGTGCTAGCCGAGCCCCTCGTGTGTGCACAGTGCGCTGGACTAGACGGACTAATGCTGTTCTTATGGAAAAGGTCAGGTTGGGCCTGCTTTTCATACAGCTATTAAAGATGAGGAGCATGTCAGAAAGAGAAGAGATGGCAGCCTTCATCATGTACTAACATGACTGAATGGCCAGAGATTCAGCCCAGGTATTTGGGAACACAGAGCTCCGGACTGTGATGGATAAATGCGCCAGCTTCCCTTTCTCCTATTTTCTTAAGGATTAAAAACAAAAATCACAAATTCTTCTGGTCTCAAATACGAAGCGTGCAAATTATGGGAAATTCTGCAATAACATTCTCACGCATCCCTATAAAACAGGATATATTCACAAAGGCCGAATATATTGCAATGTTCTCAAATATCTGTCTTTTCCACACAAGGGAATCCCTGCTCATGAACTTGGGTGAACAGTTGAAGGACCCAGACACCCACTGGCACATTTAGCCCTTGGGTGGTGGGGGAGAGAGAGTTTAGATACTTAGATAACTCAAAATTCCATTTTTGCCTTAGCACTGATGCATTCCAGTCCATTAACCTGAATAAGAATTGCTGTTTGCCTACATCTTAGAGGTGTGCAAGCAGGCAGGGAAGACTGCTATCCAGACATCCCATCTGGGGTGCCAGCTTCCCGCCTGAGGCAGAATTCAGGAGAATACTCCCTAGACTAGGGGCAGGCAACTTCCAGGCATTTGCGGGGTGGGCATGCCTCTCTCTACCACCGCTATTGCTGTCATGGATGTTTCCATTGAAATGTCTGGTGGCAACCAACTGCCACCTTCCTGGACCCTGCCTAATATTAGCTGCTGCTATCAAAGAGGTTCTGTCTCATCTCATACGTGAAGACACATCTGGAAAAAGGTAGAAGAAAAATGGTACAAGCCAGACAGAAAATGAAAGCTTCCTCCTCCTCTTCCTCCTCCCTACTTGCCATAATAATAAAAGAGAAATTTTAAGAATCTCAGACTGAAAATGCCTCAAGTCAACAGGAAATTGCAAGTGTGGTGTAATACACAGAGAGGAAACAGGTGCGTTTCAGCAATACTGTGAGTGCTACCCCTCTTTATCTTTTAAAGGGAAAGAGGTCTTTGACACACCGAACAGTGAAACAGTGGCGAATATTATCTGGATGTATGGAAATTTGCACAGAAGCATTTCTTCCATCCACTGACTGGGGGACTAGTGGCAACCCCAAATAAAAAGCAGGGTGTTGTACCACAGGCTGTGTTGGATGATGGTTTACAGTAATCCAACACATCTGGAGGCACCAGACTGGGGAAGGCTGGCAGAGGGCAGAAGAAGAGGGCAGAGCAGAGTCCCCCGAGGCTCTCTGTGCTGGGAAGGAAGGTGTGATGAAAATCCCCCAACCCACTGGGATGGGGGCTTAAAGGCCAGCACGTGGATGGACTTCAGTGCCCAGCATATTCTTGCCTGGCCCAAATATAACAGTGGCATGACCACAATGTGGAATTGACTTTAAGGGACTGTTGTCTTTGCTGCAGAACTGTGGCTGCAGGGTGTGCTGAGCACAAGGGGGGGCGGGTCTCGTTGGCAGGCTGTGCCCCCTTCGCTCCCTGTCCAATCAGACCAAAGGTCGCTGGATCAAATTGGAAGCCACCACTAGATACTGTGGTAGAAGATTCCAGAGTTAAACTATGCAAAGGTAGGAAGGGACAGAGGCAGAGACCGGCTGTGGGAACAGTGAGGATGTAGAGGACGCAGGAGGGGCTGCTGAGACTGGGGAATCTTCAAATGGATTCGGCAGAAGGAGGCGGCACCAAGAAGTGCAGTCGGTTGAGAAGCGAGTGGAGGAAAGGCGCAGCGCACCTCCCGGAGGGTTAGGCCACAAGCGGGTTCACAAGGGGAGTGTTGGGAAGTAATTGCCCAGCTGGGGTCAACTAGTCGCGTTGTGCATGCTCAGAGATGCGTACGGAAACACTAAAGAGAGTTTTGCTGAGAATAGCTCAAGGCTGGCGAGTGCTGGCGGGAGGAAATGCCCTCGTGAGAGCGTGCACTCACTCTATAGGCTGCCAGTACCTGCATGCTGAATTCGTCGTCTGGCACATCCTAGTTATGTGATCATTACTGAAAGCAGCCTTTCAACAATGGCATACGACTTGATTGCAAATCTTCTGTTTATTTATAGCGTACATAACTTGTCTTTCCACTAGGTTGCTCAAGGCAGCATACATGTCCCCCCTTCATCCTCACAACAACCCTGTGAAGTAGGTCAGGCTGAAAGTTAGGGAGCCAGTGACAATGAAACACTAAGCATGGTTTAGCATTATGTTTCCAAGCCTTCACTCTTCCTCTTGCCTCCTCTGCCATGTGCTTTTGATTTTCAGCTGACCGGAGCTCCCTGTTCCATACAAATTTAGGTTAGGGGGATTTAGGTTAGTTTAAACAAATCAGGATCGAACCACGGTTTGTCACCCTGGCATGGTCCTAAAGCACAGTGAATACACCAGGCTAAGTAAAGGGCTGCATAGGCCCAACAGTGGCTTGAGCACATAGTCCTAACTCATTTTAAGTAGACCTGGAACTGGCCTCACAAGCGAGTAGCGATTTGAATCTGGGTCTCCCTAGCCTTGGCTTGACACTCCAGCCCAGCCTTTATCAACGAGTGCCGTCCACATGTGCTGCACTACAACTCTCATTATCCCCAGCCATCAGAGCCATGGGGGTTGTAGTCCAACTCATTCAGAGGACACCCGATAGGGGAAAACTGCTCTGTCCACTACACTACACACATTTTGCCCCTCAGTGAATTTGCTTCTTCTAACTGGTCGATTTGGTATTCCTTAATAATTCAGAATAAGTCGGTAGTTTGCCTGGATGATCACTTTGGTTCCTTTCTGTATCAGCTTCCATTATGGAGTAGAATTCTCAGAATCCTGGCAAAAATTAAGTGGAACTGGGGCTGGGGAATCATTCTAATTGAAACCTACTCAGGCTTTAAATTGATCCTGTAATGAAAGCTGTCTTTCATCCATCTTTCTAATGAGAATGACCCAGCATAATTTGAAATTATGTGAAGATGGTTTTGGAGGCACAGGCGTGTTCATGCCAAAGCCCCAACACAAACGAAGCATGTGGACAGAATACTTGCCAATTTTCGATGAGCGCTGCTAAAATAGAAGTCACTACCTTTGCAGTAAGGATGAGGCTTTACCAGATGTGCATACATGACACACACAAGGCTTACTGCACATACAACAGAGGTTTTATGGTTGGTTTTTAAGCAGCATTTTCCATGCCCGCTCTCAAGCGATCTTATACAATGAGTACAAACTCCATCTCTGAGTGTGGATCTTTATGTAGCCAAAGCAGCACCAACCACATAGAAGAAGGAGGCACCGCCAGTTTCAGTGAATCATCACAAAAGAGAACATGCATTCTCAGAAAGGACACTGAGCTCACAATAGTGTGGAAAATTCTGACCAGATGGGCTGCAGTCTTGCTCTATTGCTATTGAGGTGCTATTGATGGGCACCATCAAGCCCTCTTTGTTCTCTCTTCTGATGGCTCTTTATCTTCACAGTGGATGCAAAGATAGTTCTTCAGACATACCCCACCTTTAAACTGAGGACAATCCTCTGGCAGCTTTTCAAATAGAGGATTGTCCTCTGTAAAATATGACACACGGCCACCTTAAGCTTACAAGAAATTGTAAAAATTCTTCAGGAACCTCTCTATCCAGGGTGGAACACTCAGTTAAGACCAAGCATGCTGCGTGGCCAAAGAATATTGACTCACTAGTGGCAGGGGACGTAATGGGGTTTCCTGGAAGAGGGCAGGACTGGTTGACTGGAATATTGACCCTGCACTGTTTTGTGTGGACCTTACCTGTTTCTCTGTTTGTAAGTGCAGGGGAAACTTTGAACTGAAAACTGACCAAGAATTCTGGCAAGCCTATGGATTGGATATGCATTCATTTCTTGGTCAATGAATAGATCTTGATAAATGAACAGATAGCCTCTTGATCCAGCATATAGAAAAGCAGCTATCCTACAGTTTCTTGACAGGCTGAGAACTGAATATATAGAACGCTGATAGACTTCTGCAATACAGACAATGTGCTTAACATGCTTGGTCTGCTGCTATGTCCTTGCAAGGAATGGACATCGCAAGGACTGGACTTGCATGGTAATTCTGAGGCACTTCTGGGTAGCCCAGATCATATGTGAAAATTCCCAGAACCCTGCATTTTATTGAAAAGACAAAATATGTTGCTAGTCCTCATGAAAGCAGAGACTCATTTAGATATGTGATGGTCCAAATAGTTAAGAAAGAGATAGAAGCAAAGGCACAAGTAAAAAACAAAAACGAAGCAGCCTTTTTAGCACCTGCTATTTAAAATCTGTGCATCATAATTACCCTAGAGCAGACACATATTTTTCGCATTTAAGGTCAGTGGTTTGAAAGTAAATGCAGCATGCCTGCCATCTGCAGTTTGACATCTGCCACATTCAAGAAAATAATATGCAAATGGCTCTACACATGAAATTAAATATGCAAACAGTCCCTTGGATCATGATGCACGTTCAGTGCAGCCTTTATTGCTGGACAAGATGCCCTCCCCTTATCGTATAGATCTGAGAGATAAGTGCGGCCACCAGCACAGCACCTAATTTTACAGTTTACACATTTGCTAGCTGTCCATGCCAGGCCGTTATGAGGCAACTCCACCCAAGAGCTTCATGAAGTATAGAGAATTAAAACTCTCATCCCGGAACAAGTCTATGACTCCTGAAGCTCTGAGCCAAATTTCATCAGCTGCAGGAAACCCCACCAGTGACTAGTACAGCTATCATGGTACGAAAACAGTCTATGTCCTCTCAAGAGAGTGCCAATGCATTATTTTATTTCCTTGAATGTTCTGCTTCTAGCTTACAGGCTGGGTGTGACTTCCACACAAAATAACATCGACTGGAAGGACGGGCGGCTCCAGGTTAAATCACAGCACTTGCCGTCACAATATTTTCCTAGCACCAGGCTGATGCCGTTTCCCTTTGTGCCTGACCTGCCAGTAAAGGCCAATCCGAGTGCAGTTCTGTTTATAACAGAAATGTGAAATGTCAGAAGCGGTCTGTCACTTCTGTCACGATCAACTGGAACACAGCAGCAGTCAAGCCCAAGTGGCACGTGGCTTTCTGCATTTCCAGACCTTTACTTGCCAAAAGAAGACCAGCTCAACCGCAATGCCGCAAGCTTCTCTTGCATAGCCCTTGATTTGGCTGAAACAAAGCTGTAGGTTAAACATGCTCCATTGGCATTCCTTTTGCAAAGTGGCTTGGAGGGACAGTGAGATATCAGAACAAAAATATGTATACACTAAGGACACAATTGCATGTTTGAATATTATTTTGCACATATTGCACCTGCATAAAAGAGCAGGGGAATGCACATGCAGAACACCTGGCTTACATGCTAACTTCCTTTCCCTGAACGGAACAGAGTTAATGGAATGGGGTGTACTCCACCTCCCCCTTCTCTCTAAAACTCCAGCTGGCTGCTGAAAACTGTCTTCAGTGGGATCCATGCTTGGATCTCTTATACGTGCCAGGTGCTTATGCTGGATTTCAGATGTGCATATGTGACATATTAGATCAGACATGCTAAAGCCTTCAGCTCATGCTGATGTTCCCCCTTTTGTTTACTGATGGGTGACCTGTGTGACTGCAGGACTACAATTCCATTTGAAAGAGGCAAAGTATTAGCAGAAGTGATTGAATAAAGTCAACTGAATGCAGCAAGCAAAGGGTATGGCAAACTTTCCTGAGTCATAAACAGATAGGCAGAACAAAACTGCAGCAAGAAGACTGCTGTTAAGAACAGTTTGCAAAGTCCTGGGGCAAAGCTGCAGAGCAAAACAGGCCAGGGTCTAGGTTGAAAGAAACCACTACAAAATGCTAGAGAAAACTGATGTGGCTGCCACTGGCTTCTAGGCAATGTTCTCCCGCACAGCGTGGGCACCTGAGACCTCTGCCTGGAGCCAGGGTTCTGTGATGCATCCACAGCTGTGAATTGGCCTTCATCTCAAGTGACCCTTGACCCACTTTACAAACTCCACAAACGGGTTCAGTCTGCACCGTTCTGCAAACTAAAACAGTGACCTCCTGCCATCACTGTCCTAACAGGTACCTGTCATTTCAGGAAGTCTTTCCGCACATCTGACGGTGCACAAGAGCACCAAGTCAGGGCATGTGGGCAGCTGTCACTATGCAGAGTGCTCCTCCACCCAAGGCATCGTCCTTAAGCATGAATGGGGATGTCTGCCTAAACCTCTTACTTCACTAGCCACCATAAATTACTCAGTCCAGGGCCAGGCTTGACTGAGTCCCGGGCAAGTTGCCTTTGTTCCAACCCTGAGCACCACTGCTCTTCCCTCCCCTGGGAAATGAAGACCACGCACTCCTGCGCTTCTCTGTGGTCTGCCATTGCCTGTCTCCAGTGGCCCAGCCTGTAGCCTGCCCCATCCATGCAAGCTCACAAGCTTTGCACCACCAGGCACATACAGCCCACTCCTATTCAGTCCACTCCTCTGGAAAGCAGAGAAATACTGGCCAGAAAAGCAGAAGAGTGGCAACCAGTTGGAACAGCTACCATTTTAAGTATTTATTTGTTCATTTTTAAAAAACATATGCCATCCCAATACTAAAATTCTCTGGACAGCTTACAAAAAACAGAAAAACCAAAAACAAAGCAATCAAAAAAATGACAACACACTGCATCCAATAGATAAAGATAAAAACAAGGATAAAACCAATTAGCTGTTAAAATATTGGGAGAATAAAAAGGTCTTTGCCTGATGCCGAAAAGAATGAAGCGATGGCGCCAGGCGAACCTCCCTGGGGAGCGTGTTCCACAGTCAGGGCGCCACTGCTGAAAACTACAGCATGCCATTTCCCAGGGGGCAGTAGCTGCTGCAGTTGCTTTCCATCAGAACACAAGGTGACATCTAATTATTGTTTAAAGGGGTCAGCTTTGGTGGGTCTCACATTTTGCCCTGCCATGCTGGATGCTGCATCATGCCTCAGCCTGGCTTCAGACATCTCACCAATTCCTACCTAACTGTGCCTTACAAGATTTGGGAATGCAGCATCCTCTCACACTAAGGGTGACCTGAGCTTCATACCCAGCCTTTGTGACAGGTATGTGATGCTATTCAAAAGCATCCAGTATAGATTTACAGGTCTCCATCTGCACGCAGCGAAGATAATACATGATTAGTTCCACTGTGCAGGGTTATGAACCTGTCTTTGTTGTTGCAAAGAGGTAAAATTATTGTTCTCCAACAGGCCATAAAAACCTGCCACAGGGCTTAAAACCATGCCGTTTTAGATCTATGCAGATTGCCTAACGTCACAGTACATGAAATAATACCCTTTTTAACAAACATCTGTAAGTGGAAAAGGAATTCTTAACACTGCTTATTTACTGCCCTACTTACCAACTTCATCTTTGATGTTTGCAAGCTCTGTCGAGAGCTCCTTTTCCTTCACAAGGGCACTTTCGTTCTGTTAAGACAAAGAACACAACAGTCACTGGGCTTTTTCCTTCTAAGAACTTGCACATGTTTGCTCATTACATCCGATTAAGCAAACTGTTTAGTTCTGTTCTCAAGAACTGCCAGCAGGTACCATGCTTCACATTCACAGAGATGTCCTTCATATAATGTGCTTGGAGCCACATCTATCACAGCTGCAGCAACTTCTGGGCAAAACAATCCTATGCATGCCTACTCAGAAGTAAGGTAATTGCATTCAGTGGGGCTTATTCCCTAGCAATTATTGCTGCCTTATTCTGGAATGCATTGAATTATAGGAAACATAGAAATGTGTTGGGGATAACATGGAAAAGCGCTGTGTCCACCCTACTGAACACTCCTCAAGGCTAAAAAAGAACATACATATGAGCACTCCAGTTACTACTCTTTTAATGTGCAATATTGAGAGACTAACACTCTAAGGATGGGATCCTATATAAGTGGGAAAAGTGATGGTGTGAATTTCCCCTCCCTTGCCCTACAGGCCTCTGAGGCCATCTAGTTGGGTTCCACTGATGGAGATCAGATCCAGTGGATCTATGGGAGGTCTACAGGCCATAAATGGCTTAGGACCTGGTTACCTAAAGGAACATCTTCCTTATGCACCCTCCTGCCCCTTAAGATCTGGGGCAGAGGCCCTTCTCTGGGAACCCTCCTGGAAGGAGATTAAGAGGGTGGTTACCCAGAGAAGGGTCTTCTCTGCAGTGGTGCACCGATTGTGGAATATAGTCCCTGGAGAGGTTCACTTGGTGCCGTCACTTTATTCTTTTTGCCAGGCTAAAACCTTTTTATTTTCCCAATATTTTAAGGCTTGACTGTTATTTAATATGGGTTTTATTGTTAGAAATTGATTAGGATGCTGTGTTTTATTTTATTTTTTGTCTTATTGTTAAACTGTCCCAAGACTATGGTAAGGGAAGGTCTAAATTTTTTTTAAATAAATATAGTTACAAATAAATATGAATAAAAACTCTATTTTTTGCCCCTGGTCCAACCCCTTCTCTATTCCAATTTCTGCTTTCCCTGATGGTGAGTAATATCACCCAGGATAAGGCAGTGTCCTGGGACCTTCCATGCTAATGGCAGTATGTGTGTTTCTGTGGAATCCATGCTCCAATTCCCCCTGCCCCCATAGGCCATAGCTATGTCTGTGGCTTTTGGGGCTGGATCCACACCATTGTATGGTCCTTCAGACATTCTCTCAGGAGTCAAAGGATTGTACTCTTTGTGTATTAGTTTATATCGTTCATTGCTAAATGTTCTTTGTGTGTGTTTTAAGACCTTCAAGAAAGAATAGATAATATCATATTATTAAAGTTGCCCATAGATATTTCAAAGTGCCAATAACATGCTGGATAAATTCATGGTGGGCTTCCTTGCCTGTCTTTCATGAAATTCCTTTTTAATTTGCCTGATTTCTGATGAGGTGCAGGCTTAGAGTGTGATCAGCCATGTAAGAGAGGAGATATCAGTGGGTTTCATGGAACCCACACATTTGCAGCAATTCAAAAACATCATTAGTAAAAGCCGTTAGGTCTTGGTAAAAACCCAGAAAGAGTCTAGTGAGGATTGAGTATAGTCAGGGACTCTGCTGACTAACTGTTGAGTGGAAATCTGGGAACTAGGAAAATAGAACAGAGTGGCTAGAATTCTAAACATTACACCATACTGCAACATTTTGTTGGTAAAAATAGCCCATTTGCTCTCACTAGGATACTTCCACTAGCACGAGCAGCTACACATTGTTTACTCAGTGTAAACAAACTGGAAACAATGGTTGGCTGCTCATAAACAAGCCAAGATTCACAAATTAAGAACAGGTTTATAAACCAGGTTTATGAAGGGAACAATGAACCAGGATCACCAGCCTGAAAAACTAAGCAAACCATTTCTGGTTTTCTTACTTCCTGGCAAGCAATTGGGCTTCATTCATGGTAAGCTATGATTTGTCAGAATCCTGGGTGAAAACATGGTTATAGTGAGAATCCCAATTCACCCTTCCCTTTTACACCTTTTCCTATGGTCTGAGAATTAGAGGAAACTTGAATAATGCATATATTTTGAACAAGTAGTATTTTTTAAACAAACAAATATGAAATAGAAATGTTATAATAATAATAATAATAATAATAAAAAAATGTAATAAGAACATAGAAAGAAAGGGTTAAATGTCCTCACTATTTTGGCTGTATTTTTGTATCTATGTATTTTCTAGCAATCCCTTGCATTTTGATTACAAAAAGGCAAGCTTGCAAATCAACAAACAATACTGCTGTTTAACCATTTCCCACCAAACAAATGAATGAACAAACAATACTGTTGTTGAACCGTTTTTCTACCAAATTTCATAGCCCTGCTAAAAACAAATATGAAACAAAAGTGTTTCGACTGTCTTGAAGCAAAATTCTCTCTAAAGGAGAGATGCAAGATTGCTAGCATTCTGCCTCTGGTTTTGCACACTATTGATTATAACATGTTGACCCACAACTACTAAACTGAGAATTTATGGCACAGTTTTATTAAGCCTGTGGGGAAGGGGTGGGCATGGGGAAAGAAGAGAATAATACTTCTCAGAACAGAGGATTTCAAATGATTGGACACAGAAGACATAAAATATATGTATCCCGACAATACTGAAACATCCTTGTTAGATCATAAAAAGAATTTAGTGGGAGGTATTCACAAAAGATGTACAAATCATCAGAAGAGGCGGATGGAAAACCCACCAGAGTGCGATTTAGCATAATAGATACCAGAAACAGCAGCACAAAAGAACGTTAAGCTACTTTCTTGTCATAACGGCATCCCTCATCTTGTGAAGAGGGAGACAGGGAATCATATCAGGCTGGCAGGACGTGTCCCCTTTCACAAAGTATAGTTCTCTATTCTAAGGGATGCCAAAGGATGGTGCCTATTTTGAAGGCACCCTCTGTCTGAAGGGCTGCCCAGTCGTATGTCAATCAACATAAAGAACCATCCGAAGGAAAAGCTGATCCTGGAGTGGCCCATTAACAACAAGCAGCAGGTTGAGCAAGTGCATAGGTCACCCAGGCTTCCATGCTATGGTGAGCTCTCCTGCATTTCTGTTGGACCTGGAATGCTGCACATTGCTAAATTTGCATCTATACATGTTGATCAGCATTTTCAAATATTATGCAAACCAGTGTCCTCTTTTGTGGTGATGCACATCCTTTTCCATGATTTTGTAAGTAATGGTGTTACTAGAGCTACTAATAATTAGAGAAACTAGATCAGGAAGCTATAACATGTGCAGGCAGTGGTAATCCTTGGCTGGCTGCATTGCCCTCCCTTTGGAATTCCCGCTCCACAGTGACGTGACATTCACAATCCTTGATAGTGTTTTGCTGCCTCTTAAAACTGACCAGTCATTACTACTGGGATTATAATGTTGCCTTTGGCTCTGAAAAGGAACTTAAAATAGAATGCAAGCGTGAAGTGGACATCCAGGAAATGAAGACCGCCAGGGATGGTACTGCATCCATTAGCTGCGTTTTGCAACCATGATTCAACAATGAATAACACAATGGCTAGGTTCTGATGGAGGGATAACAGCACCCCACCACAGTGGATCTGAAAGTTTTATAATGTGCAGAACAATCATTTGCACGTTTACACACTGGGTTCAATGGGCTTAGTTCCTAATAAGTGTATTTAGGATTGCAGAATTTGTCTCTTAGAGAATAGAGTGAATAAACTTGGGGTCTCTAAGCCTGCTAGGCTTCCTGCCTCTACTGATTAATTGACTGGAAGGCTGGGATGCTGCAAATCAAAATGCTGACAAGCAGCACCAGCTTCACATCAATTCCAAGGAGTAGCTGTTACTGTTGTGGAGCTGAAGCAGCACCTCTGCCACCTAGCAAGGTTTCTGGGCCTGTTTCTTTCTTTTAGTCTCACCTGTTTGCCTTCAAGGAAAGGGACATTGTGCAGACTGATCATGCCCACTCTGGCAGCCGTTTGACTGCAGGTAAGACCTGCATGGCAGCACTGGCCTCTCTCAAAATTCTAAAGGTGCTGACCGACCAAACCAGGCAGTTGTTAACTGAATTCCGAAGCAACTTGGAGAGGAGAGAAATTTGGAAGGCTGATGGAGAAGAAAGATTTATGATATTCCTTTTCCTTACCTCTGTCTTCCATTGGGACTTAGAAGTTCCTTTCAGAAAGACAGAAATAGAGGCTGGAGAAGCCATATGAAATGAGTTCCATGTGCAACTACAGGCTCATTAAATTGTATACACCCAAAATTTACAAAGCGGCTTTTGCCCATATGGATGATTGGCTATCAGAATGTTCAAACAGTATCACTTAGCCAAGAAAGTCAAGGTTATTTTCAGTCCATCCTTCTGAATCATGTGTTCCAGCACTACTTTACCTGAGATTGCCAGTTCAGTGCTACTCAGTACAGCCACAGTTTTGCTTGCAGTGAGAGCCTGCTGTAGCCTTGTTCTCCATATCCACTTCCCCTATAAGTCACTGCATACAGTGGATTACATGCCATTTTGGTTTTATATCCAAGGCAAAACCACAACACTGTATTGTCTATACAGTTATGAAAACACTCATATTTACATAAAAACTCCCTAATTATACTGGACTCCTTCCTCCATTTCAATTTCTGCTTGTTAAACCCCACTGTTAAAATCTGGCTAGCAACCAGAGAGGGAACGTGGCAAAGGGATGATCAGAGAAAAGGAATGTGGCGAGGAGACACTCATCCTTGGATAACTGCATAAACAAGTCTTCACATGAGTCTCTCTCACTTTGGTTCTACTTCTTTTAAGTAGAAAGTAACTTGTGAATTCTAGTTAACTAATTAAGTAATTAGAATTCTAGTTACTTAAGTAACTTGTGAATTCTTGAGTTCCTTGTAAACATGGTTGGACAAATGTTTCTGAATGCTGGTTAATTGCGCCATTCCAGATTTCAGGAATGCCTTCAGAGGTTGGTTCTTGG